TGTGTCTCTTCTGCAGCTCGGACTTCACGTAGGCGAGTCTAGCAGTGTCAGCTGTGGCAAAGACCAAGTCCTCGACGTACACGAGGATGTAGAACGGCGGCAGAGAGGTGTCGGTTCGCAGAAACAACGACGGGTCGGCAGTAGAAGGAGCAAACCCAAGAGCCGCAAGCGTAGTCCTCAGTGTGTCGTGCCACTCACGTGGCGCCTGGCGGAGACCGTAGACTGGACGCCAGAGACTCCACTGGGTACCAGAGGGGAAAGACCCAGTGAAGCCAGGTGGGCGGCGCAGCCAGATCTCCTCGTGCAGGCTGCCCTGCAAGAAAGCTGTGCTGAAGTCGAGAGAGTCCAGCTCGTAGTCACGGTGAGCAGCAACGTGCAGCAGTACCCGAAGAGTGGTCATCTTCGGGGTGGGGGAGAAGGTCTGAAAGTAGTTAACTCCCTGCCGCTGACTGAAGCCACGAGCCACGTAACGCGCCTTGAAGACAGGCGGTGAACCTGGCGGCCGCTTCACCCTGAAGATCCACATGCCACTGACGATGTTCGCCCCAGGAGGGGGACAGCGTCAACGTAGGTGCCTGTGGACTTCCAGGAAGTCATCTCTGCATCCATAGCTGCCTGCCACTGAGAGGAGTAGGGACCCTCTATCGCTTCCACGTAGGAGCGCGGAGTCGGGATGTCAAGTGCATCCGGGTCTCCCTCAAGGGTAAGCAGTACGGACAAGAGATGCGGTGAAGCGGCTGCCAGGCACTGGAACTCCTCCTGCCTGTCCTCAAGGACGTCCGTGCCAAGGGCACACTCGCCCCCGACGGACGGAGGACAGACAGACTCAGACTCTGCGACAAGACTAGCAGCGTAGTCTAGGCGACAGCGAGCAGCAAAGTCGACGAGCTCAGTAACGAGGGCAGACGCAGCAGAAGACTCGAAAGAAGGGTCAGTGACGACAGTAGCAAGGAAACGCGTGATAGTAGGACTGGCAGCACGAAGAGAGTCCGACACCGGGTCGGCAAGAGAAAGAAGAGAGGACGCAGGAGGAGAAGGCAAAGGGGCACGCAGAAGAGCGGTAGACGGACGCAGTGACATCTGGTGCGTGTCAGGGACAGGAGGAGGACGCTGACGCGAAATGCGACCACTAGCGCGTGCAGGACGAACAGCCGACGCAGGACGAGACGCAGGCTCACGACGCTCGGTAAGACCTCAAGTAGGACCAGCGTACGGAGAAGGAGCAGGTAAGGGGGAGGCAGGCTGTAGCTGTGACTGTGACGGGACAGGCTGTGGACCCTCTAAGGGAGGAGGAGGACTAGTAGAAAGTAGAAGACCAAGAACCTGCTGCAGGAGTGGAACGAAGTACGGTAGAGGCCGCGCGGCGACGCCAGACACAGCAGGGATAGCACGAATACCCTTCAGCAGGAGTACCCGCTCCAGCAGCACCTCCAGCAGCTCCAAAACCTCCAGGACCGCCAGAGGTAGTCTCAGCGCCAACACCCTCAGCAGCACGAGCTCCAGTCGAACCCGCAGGCCCAGCAGCTCCAGTACTCCCAGTACGAGCACCTCCGGGGCCCGCGACAGCAGCACCCTCAGCAGCAGAAGAACCTCCACCACCAGCAGCACGCCTCCAGCGCCGGGCAAACCACTCACGCAGCTCCAGTGGGGAGAGTGGCTCTTGGCGAGACGAAGCACCCGGAGAACCTCCAGGCGAAGAACCTCCAGGCTCAGCACCCCCAGACAAAGCACCTCCAGGCCCAGCACCCCCAGGCTCAGCACCCCTAGGCTCAGCACCCCCAAGCTCAGCAACCCTAGACTCAGCACCCCCAGGCTCAGCACCCCGTACGTCCATGATGCATGCGGCTGCCTCCCATTTTCTGTGGCCGTTTGCGGTGAGGTACGCGGCGCACCAGATCAACCTTCACCCCTAAACACCAAAACCATCACACTCAGGTACTCCGCCTACATCCTCCCTTCCTCGAAGGTGATGCTGCAACCATCTCAGGTGCGATGGTCACGACCATCTCTCGAGTACTTGGAGGCCAACCCATACCTGCTCATGCCTTCACGTGCCCCCCCCCCCCCGCCCCCCCACCTCCCCACTTGGTACTTTCCCGTCAAGCCCCAATCAAGACTTCCCCACCTGCTGCTGCTGCTGCTGCTCGCTCTGCTACTGCTGCTGCTCGCGCTGCTGCTGCTGCTGCTCGCGTCACTGCTGCTGCTGCTGCCATAGCCCGGCCTCGCAGCCATGCGTTGTGCAGAGGCTGCAAGCCAGCCGACAGCACCTCTTGGCGGCCCCACATCCGCCTCTCCTCCACGCTCATCTTCGGATCGCTAAACCTGTCATACAGTTTTTCCATCTCCTCCCTGTGCCTCTGTATTGCCACTACCTCGTCTAGAGTCAACAAACTCTCGACCAGCGGCAGCATCCCCTCCACGCCCTCAGTCTTAAACACCCGGATAGCTCCAGCCCAGGGTGAAGCCTCTTCCTCCGTCTCAAACCGCCCTCCGCGGTGCTGCTTACCGATCTTGACACTCACGTAGATATTATCTCCGTTGTATACCACTCCAGAAAATCTGCTACCCTCGCGTTCTGGTGCAGGTGGTGCTGGTGGTGCTGGTGGTGCTACTGCTTGCGCTGCCTCTGCTGCTGCTTCTGCTGCTGCTGCTGCTGCTAGTGCTGCTTCGGGTGCAGGTGGCACAACTGCTGTTACTGCTTCTGCTGCTGCAACTGCTGCTGCTGCTGCCGCCGCCGCCGCCGCTGCTGCTGCTGCTGCTTCTGGTGGTGGTGCTGCAGGTGCATGTGGTGCTGCTGCAGGTGCATGTGGTGCTGCTGCAGGTGCGTGTGGTGCTGCAGCAGGTGCATGTGGTGCTGCTGCAGGTGCATGTGGTGCTGCTGCAGGTGCGTGTGGTGCTGCAGCAGGTGCATGTGGTGTTGCTGCAGGTGCATGTGGTGTTGCAGCTGGTGCTGGTGGAAGTGATGCTGCTGGGGGCGATGGTGGTGCAATTGCTTGTGGGGACAATGGTGTTGCCGCTTCAGGAGCAGCAAACTGCTCTACCTCTGCTGCTGTGGTCGCAATGTAACCAACTTCAGATGCAGCCTCAGCCGGTGTAAGAGCAGCTGCAGCACGAGAAGCGGCAGACGATGCTAGAGGAGAGCCAAGCTCGAACACCCTCACCAATTCACCTCCCTGATGAACTCCGCCCGCACTCCCTATGGTGCCACACATCTCCATTCCCCTCTCCCCGCTGTTAGCAGTCGCAGCTAGCAATTGGCTTGATGACCTCGCCTGTTCAAAGTCCGAAATCAGAACGCGCCGCGCAGGGGTTCTCTCCCCACGCCTCTCCTGTCCGCCATCCCCCCCACTATCCAGCCTCATCCGCTCCCTCTTCCTCTCCACCTGCTCCTGCAGTGCAACAATTTTGCACGACATCTGCTGAATCTGACAGGAAAATGGAGAATAAGGAAAAGAGAGAGGAAAAGTTTCAGATATGGAAAGAACCAGAACGGAAGAAGGCAGTGAGGGAGCAAGTGAGAGAGGAGCACGTGACAAATGCATCCTCCTCCCGTTTCCCTAAACTCCCCCTCGCAGCTAATCCTAAAGTCCCACCACACTTGCGTGCGAGAAAGGCATCCGCCTAGGTGAGCCATGGGCGCCTCATCATCACAGCCCACACCAGTCCCGTACCGATCCCACCACGATCTCACCACGGTCCCACACCCATCCCACACCCATCCCACACCCATCCCACACCCATCCCGCACCCATCCCGCACCCATCCCGCACCCATCCCACACCCATCCCACACCCATCCCACACCCATCCCACACCCATCTCACACCCATCCCACACACATCCCACACCCATCCCACACCCATCCCACACCCATCCAACACCCATCCCACACCCATCCCACACCCATCCCCCACCCATCTCCCGCCCATCCCCCGCCCATCCCACGCCCATCCCACGCCCATCCCACACCCATCCCACACCCATCCCACACCCATCCCACACCCATCCCACACCCATCCCACACCCATCCCACACCCATCCCAAACCCATCCCACACCCATCCCACACCCATCCCACACCCATCCCACACACCCATCCCACACCCATCCCACACCCATCCCCCACCCATCCCCCACCCATCCCACACCCATCCCGCACCCATCCCGCACCCATCCCACACCCATCCCACACCCATCCCACACCCATCCCACACCCATCCCACACCCATCCCACACCCATCCCACACCCATCCCCCACCCGTCCCCCACCCATCCCCCAAGCCATCCCACACCCATCCCACACCCATCCCACACCCATCCCACACCCATCCCCCAACTCATCCCACACCCATCCCACACCCATCCCACACCCATCTCCCAGCCATCCCCCACCCATCCCCCAAGCCATCCCATACCCATCCCACACCCATCCTACACCCATCCCACACCCATCCCACACCCATCCCACACCCATCCCACACCCATCCCACACCCATCCCACACCCATCCCCCAGCCATCCCCCACCCATCCCCCAAGCCATCCCATACCCATCCCACACCCATCCCACACCCATCCCACACCCATCCCACACCCATCCCACACCCATCCCACACCCATCCCACACCCATCCCACACCCATCCCCCACCCGTCCCCCACCCGTCCCCCGCCCATCCCCCGCCCATCCCACGCCCATCCCACCCCCATCCCACACCCATCCCACACCCATCCCACACCCATCCCACACCCATCCCACCCCGATCCCACCCGATCCCACACCGATCCTACCCCCATCACACCCCGATCCCACACCGATCCCACACCGTGAGCTGCTCACCTCACTCTGATACTCCGCCTCATCATTCATTTGCTTGTCCAGCGCCTCGCTTAGATCCTTCTGTATGAGCACAAAGCAAGGATTCAAAAGACCCACACATAAGGTTGACGCCAAGACCATGCGTTAAAGGATTGACTATAGATGCAATAGAGCATGGTGTTCTCACCCGCAGGCACTGCACTTCACGCTGCAGTGCAGCGACCTCCCTCTCCGCTGAGGCTCTGCCCTCGGTCTCAGCATGCGCCACCCGCTCCATGCCGACAGCCGCTTCCCGTTCCACATAGAGTTTTTCCTCCAGTTTGGCAATCTGAAAAGCAACGGAGGGAAGGGCATGGATGGCATCGGTTGGACTCATGGGCAAATGTTTTGTGCATGTGAGTGTGTGCGTAATGCGAGGGTCTGTGTGAAAGCAAATCTGTATGCTTCAACGGCATGTTTGTGTTGCAGATACTTTAAGCGTGTGCACGTCTTTGCTAATCCCCCTCTTCCCTTGCCCCGCCCAGTGGAAGAAGAAGCACGCAGAACAGGGAAGGGAAGCAGCCAGACCTCTCCCCTTACCGGTAACCGGATACCCCTGTCTCACCTTGTCTCCTTACTCCCCCTTCCCCTCCCTACCCATCAAAGAGTTGAAGCGCTTGGGCAGAAGCAGCAGTGAGGAAGCGGCTTCGGGGCGACACCCACCTACGGCTGCGGCGGCATGGGGACCACTGGGTGTCAAGCTTCTGTCCTCTGCCACCACGCGCCTCGCCTCCAAGCAGAGCCTCTATCCACCGTCAGTCAGAGATATGGAAATTACCTCCATAGCAGCGGTGGGTGGTGGCACTGCAGAGCAGCCAGGCCAGCGTGCTCCACGTCAAGGCCTGCCGGGTGGTTGCAGCCTCCTACCCCCAAGCAACGGCGGACCCGGCCCATCGCCCTCATGGACCCCCGCCCATCGCCCTCATGGGCCTCCTCTCTGTCCCGGAGGCCTCAGCCTGAACTCGGGCCACGACAGCAGCACCGCCCCTCTCGGAACCGCCCTGAGCCAGCCACTCCCGCAAAGAAACCTCCCCGACCCTTCCCGAGCCCATAATACCAAGCCTGCCCTTCCGGTGGTACCCTCCCTGCCCCTGCGCAGAACTTGCCGTCCGATCTGAACTAGAGTAGCTAGACAACTCCCCCAGCTCCCATCTTTCCCCCCCATTCCTTGACTTACACCCACCATACCACTCACCAGGCGGGCTTAGCTCGTTGCATAAGTTGTCATACACAACATAACCTTTGACGTTCCTCTTTTACTCAATGACAATGACCGTTCAGGGAATAAGAAGAGGGGGGGGGGGGGGGGGTGCAGATAAGCCGGAAGGAAAAGAGGCAGAGGGGAAGAGATGCAGTGAAGTACAACGGTGAAAGGGTAACGAGGATTGCTGTCACTCACCGTACTCTCCTTCTCCGCCATTGCAGCTCGATGCAACGCCACGTGCCGTTCGAATTTTGAAACTTCCCCCTCAAACTGGTAAGTGCGGGTGAGAGAGGGGTAGGTGAGAGAGAGGGGGGAAGATGACAGGGAGGGAGGTGAGAGAGAAGCCAAAAGAAATTGCTGCCACTCATTGTTCTCTCTTTCTCTGCAGCGATTGCTTGCTCCAAGGCCACTTGCTGTTCCATTCCAGAAACTCTCGCCTACAGCTTACTCCACTTACCTCCTGCACGAGCTCGCGTTTCTCATGGTCAACCCGCTCCACCTTCTCGTCCAAACTCTTCATCCGCTTATTTCCTTCCTCTAGATTCCGTTCCGCTTCAACCCGCCTTGCAACTTCCTCATTCAGATTCCTCTCCAAAGCTTCCACCCTCTCCCTTGCCGCTGCTGCCTCATTCTGCAGATTTCGCAAATTCACTTCATTCGTCTCCATCGCCCTAAACCCCAAAACCCTAAACCCTAAACCCTAAATGGGTAGGGAGGAGAAGGGTTTTGGTGCATCACACTCAGGTGCTCCGCCTACTTCCTCCCTTCCTCGAAGGTGATGCTGCAACCATCTCAGGTGCGATGGTCACGACCATCTCTCGAGTACTTGGAGGCCAACCCACACCTGCTCATGCCTTCACGTGCCCCCCCCCCCCCGCCCCCCCACCTCCCCACTTGGTACTTTCCCGTCAAGCCCCAATCAAGACTTCCCCACCTGCTGCTGCTGCTGCTGCTCGCTCTGCTGCTGCTGCTGCTCGCGCTGCTGCTGCTGCTGCTCGCGTCACTGCTGCTGCTGCTGCCATAGCCCGGCCTCGCAGCCATGCATTGTGCAGAGGCTGCAAGCCAGCCGACAGCACCTCTTGGCGGCCCCACATCCGCCTCTCCTCCACGCTCATCTTCGGATCGCTAAACCTGTCATACAGTTTTTCCATCTCCCCCCTGTGCCTCTGTATTGCCACTACCTCGTCTAGAGTCAACACACCCTCGACCAGCGGCAGCATCCCCTCCACGCCCTCAGTCTTAAACACCCGGATAGCTCCAGCCCAGGGTGAAGCCTCTTCCTCCGTCTCAAACCGCCCTCCGCGGTGCTGCTTACCGATCTTGACACTCACGTAGATATTATCTCCGTTGTATACCACTCCAGAAAATCTGCTACCCTCGCGTTCTGGTGCAGGTGGTGCTGGTGGTGCTGGTGGTGCTACTGCTTGCGCTGCCTCTGCTGCTGCTTCTGCTGCTGCTGCTGCTGCTGCTAGTGCTGCTTCGGGTGCAGGTGGCACAACTGCTGTTACTGCTTCTGCTGCTGCAACTGCTGCTGCTGCTGCCGCCGCCGCCGCCGCTGCTGCTGCTGCTGCTGCTGCTTCTGGTGGTGGTGCTGCAGGTGCATGTGGTGCTGCTGCAGGTGCATGTGGTGCTGCTGCAGGTGCGTGTGGTGCTGCAGCAGGTGCATGTGGTGCTGCTGCAGGTGCATGTGGTGCTGCTGCAGGTGCGTGTGGTGCTGCAGCAGGTGCATGTGGTGTTGCTGCAGGTGCATGTGGTGTTGCAGCTGGTGCTGGTGGAAGTGATGCTGCTGGGGGCGTTGGTGGTGCAATTGCTTGTGGGGACAATGGTGTTGCCGCTTCAGGAGCAGCAAACTGCTCTACCTCTGCTGCTGTGGTCGCATTGTAACCAACTTCAGATGCAGCCTCAGCCGGAGTAAGAGCAGCTGCAGCGAGAGAAGCGGCAGACGATGCTAGAGGAGAGCCAAGCTCGAACACCCTCACCAATTCACCTCCCTGATGAACTCCGCCCGCACTCCCTATGGTGCCACACATCTCCATTCCCCTCTCCCCGCTGTTAGCAGTCGCAGCTGGCAATTGGCTTGATGACCTCGCCTGTTCAAAGTCCGAAATCAGAACGCGCCGCGCAGGGGTTCTCTCCCCACGCCTCTCCTGTCCGCCATCCCCCCCACTATCCAGCCTCATCCGCTCCCTCTTCCTCTCCACCTGCTCCTGCAGTGCAACAATTTTGCACGACATCTGCTGAATCTGACAGGAAAATGGAGAATAAGGAAAAGAGAGAGGAAAAGTTTCAGATATGGAAAGAACCAGAACGGAAGAAGGCAGTGAGGGAGCAAGTGAGAGAGGAGCACGTGACAAATGCATCCTCCTCCCGTTTCCCTAAACTCCCCCTCGCAGCTAATCCTAAAGCCCCACCACACTTGCGTGCGAGAAAGGCATCCGCCTAGGTGAGCCATGGGCGCCTCATCATCACAGCCCACACCAGTCCCGTACCGATCCCACCACGATCTCACCACGGTCCCACACCCATCCCACACCCATCCCACACCCATCCCGCACCCATCCCGCACCCATCCCGCACCCATCCCACACCCATCCCACACCCATCCCACACCCATCCCACACCCATCTCACACCCATCCCACACACATCCCACACCCATCCCACACCCATCCCACACCCATCCCACACCCATCCCACACCCATCCCACACCCATCCCACACCCATCCCACACCCATCCCACACCCATCCCCCACCCATCTCCCGCCCATCCCCCGCCCATCCCACGCCCATCCCACGCCCATCCCACACCCATCCCACACCCATCCCACACCCATCCCACACCCATCCCACACCCATCCCACACCCATCCCACACCCATCCCAAACCCATCCCACACCCATCCCACACCCATCCCACACCCATCCCACACACCCATCCCACACCCATCCCACACCCATCCCCCACCCATCCCCCACCCATCCCACACCCATCCCGCACCCATCCCGCACCCATCCCACACCCATCCCACACCCATCCCACACCCATCCCACACCCATCCCACACCCATCTCACACCCATCTCACACCCATCCCACACCCATCCCCCAAGCCATCCCACACCCATCCCACACCCATCCCACACCCATCCCACACCCATCCCACACCCATCCCCCAACTCATCCCACACCCATCCCACACCCATCCCACACCCATCTCCCAGCCATCCCCCACCCATCCCCCAAGCCATCCCATACCCATCCCACACCCATCCTACACCCATCCCACACCCATCCCACACCCATCCCACACCCATCCCACACCCATCCCACACCCATCCCACACCCATCCCCCAGCCATCCCCCACCCATCCCCCAAGCCATCCCATACCCATCCCACACCCATCCCACACCCATCCCACACCCATCCCACACCCATCCCACACCCATCCCACACCCATCCCACACCCATCCCACACCCATCCCCCACCCGTCCCCCACCCGTCCCCCGCCCATCCCCCGCCCATCCCACGCCCATCCCACCCCCATCCCACACCCATCCCACACCCATCCCACACCCATCCCACACCCATCCCACCCCGATCCCACCCGATCCCACACCGATCCTACCCCCATCACACCCCGATCCCACACCGATCCCACACCGTGAGCTGCTCACCTCACTCTGATACTCCGCCTCATCATTCATTTGCTTGTCCAGCGCCTCGCTTAGATCCTTCTGTATGAGCACAAAGCAAGGATTCAAAAGACCCACACATAAGGTTGACGCCAAGACCATGCGTTAAAGGATTGACTATAGATGCAATAGAGCATGGTGTTCTCACCCGCAGGCACTGCACTTCACGCTGCAGTGCAGCGACCTCCCTCTCCGCTGAGGCTCTGCCCTCGGTCTCAGCATGCGCCACCCGCTCCATGCCGACAGCCGCTTCCCGTTCCACATAGAGTTTTTCCTCCAGTTTGGCAATCTGAAAAGCAACGGAGGGAAGGGCATGGATGGCATCGGTTGGACTCATGGGCAAATGTTTTGTGCATGTGAGTGTGTGCGTAATGCGAGGGTCTGTGTGAAAGCAAATCTGTATGCTTCAACGGCATGTTTGTGTTGCAGATACTTTAAGCGTGTGCACGTCTTTGCTAATCCCCCTCTTCCCTTGCCCCGCCCAGTGGAAGAAGAAGCACGCAGAACAGGGAAGGGAAGCAGCCAGACCTCTCCCCTTACCGGTAACCGGATACCCCTGTCTCACCTTGTCTCCTTACTCCCCCTTCCCCTCCCTACCCATCAAAGAGTTGAAGCGCTTGGGCAGAAGCAGCAGTGAGGAAGCGGCTTCGGGGCGACACCCACCTACGGCTGCGGCGGCATGGGGACCACTGGGTGTCAAGCTTCTGTCCTCTGCCACCGCGCGCCTCGCCTCCAAGCAGAGCCTCTATCCACCGTCAGTCAGAGATATGGAAATTACCTCCATAGCAGCGGTGGGTGGTGGCACTGCAGAGCAGCCAGGCCAGCGTGCTCCACGTCAAGGCCTGCCGGGTGGTTGCAGCCTCCTACCCCCAAGCAACGGCGGACCCGGCCCATCGCCCTCATGGACCCCCGCCCATCGCCCTCATGGGCCTCCTCTCTGTCCCGGAGGCCTCAGCCTGAACTCGGGCCACGACAGCAGCACCGCCCCTCTCGGAACCGCCCTGAGCCAGCCACTCCCGCAAAGAAACCTCCCCGACCCTTCCCGAGCCCATAATACCAAGCCTGCCCTTCCGGTGGTACCCTCCCTGCCCCTGCGCAGAACTTGCCGTCCGATCTGAACTAGAGTAGCTAGACAACTCCCCCAGCTCCCATCTTTCCCCCCCATTCCTTGACTTACACCCACCATACCACTCACCAGGCGGGCTTAGCTCGTTGCATAAGTTGTCATACACAACATAACCTTTGACGTTCCTCTTTTACTCAATGACAATGACCGTTCAGGGAATAAGAAGAGGGGGGGGGGGGGGGGGTGCAGATAAGCCGGAAGGAAAAGAGGCAGAGGGGAAGAGATGCAGTGAAGTACAACGGTGAAAGGGTAACGAGGATTGCTGTCACTCACCGTACTCTCCTTCTCCGCCATTGCAGCTCGATGCAACGCCACGTGCCGTTCGAATTTTGAAACTTCCCCCTCAAACTGGTAAGTGCGGGTGAGAGAGGGGTAGGTGAGAGAGAGGGGGGAAGATGACAGGGAGGGAGGTGAGAGAGAAGCCAAAAGAAATTGCTGCCACTCATTGTTCTCTCTTTCTCTGCAGCGATTGCTTGCTCCAAGGCCACTTGCTGTTCCATTCCAGAAACTCTCGCCTACAGCTTACTCCACTTACCTCCTGCACGAGCTCGCGTTTCTCATGGTCAACCCGCTCCACCTTCTCGTCCAAACTCTTCATCCGCTTATTTCCTTCCTCTAGATTCCGTTCCGCTTCAACCCGCCTTGCAACTTCCTCATTCAGATTCCTCTCCAAAGCTTCCACCCTCTCCCTTGCCGCTGCTGCCTCATTCTGCAGATTTCGCAAATTCACTTCATTCGTCTCCATCGCCACTCAAGCAGGAACCTGCAGGATACATGAAAGGGAGAAACAAGCAGAGAAGGGCGTAAAGAAGGGCGTAGAGTTTCCATGTCAGGGAGAGAGAGTTGGGCGGATGGGTGGAGCAGCAGATATATGAGAGAAGACACACACACGCACACACACACACACACACACACACACACACATACACACACACACACACACACACACGCACACACACACACACACACACACGCACACACACACACACACACACACACACACACACACACACACACACACACGTGTGGAGACGTGCGGACAGGGGAGACGTGCGGACAGGGGAGACGTGCGGACAGGGGAGACGTGCGGACAGGGGAGACGTGCGGACAGGGAAGACGTGCGGACAGGGGGACTTGGTAACATGGTGGTGGAGGGAGGGGCTGGGCAGGGAGGTTGGGGCAGTGGTAAAAGGGCAGGGCAGGGAGGGGGGGCTTACGGCTGACGTACCTCGTGTAGGAACGCAAAACTCCATGGGTGCTTGTGGTGTGTTTTCCTAGGCAGACGCTCCGCCTCGTGTTATCCGTGTTGAGCCCTAGGATCGGGAGATGCTCTGGCCTGGAGGGGAGATGATAAAACGAGGGGAAGAAGAGGGGGATATGAGAGGAAGGAGAGGGCGGGGAAATGAGTCTAAGCAGAGGAGGAAACGAGGGGAAGCATAGGGAGGTGTAAGGGATCAGCAAGGGCCGAAATGGGGGGAAGCAGAGGGGGATATGAGAGGAAGGAGAGGGATTTAGCGCATTCCAAGTACGTAGGCAAGTCCCACTATGCATCACGCTTTTCGCCAAATACAACGCACGTGTTTACGTGTACACAGTGCAACGCCACACAATGCGTTGCAAAAGACGGCCCGACAGAGCTGCCGTACGCAGGCATGGTACCGCGTGACCCATAATGGCAGATTTGATGGCAGTTGTGCCACCTGCACCCGAAGCAGCACTAGCAGCAGCAGCAGCAGCAGAAGCAGCAGCAGAGGCAGCGCAAGCAGTAGCACCACCAGCACCACCAGCACCACCTGCACCAGAACGCGAGGGTAGCAGATTTTCTGGAGTGGTATACAACGGAGATAATATCTACGTGAGTGTCAAGATCGGTAAGCAGCACCGCGGAGGGCGGTTTGAGACGGAGGAAGAGGCTTCACCCTGGGCTGGAGCTATCCGGGTGTTTAAGACTGAGGGCGTGGAGGGGATGCTGCCGCTGGTCGAGGGTGTGTTGACTCTAGACGAGGTAGTGGCAATACAGAGGCACAGGGGGGAGATGGAAAAACTGTATGACAGGTTTAGCGATCCGAAGATGAGCGTGGAGGAGAGGCGGATGTGGGGCCGCCAAGAGGTGCTGTCGGCTGGCTTGCAGCCTCTGCACAACGCATGGCTGCGAGGCCGGGCTATGGCAGCAGCAGCAGCAGTGACGCGAGCAGTAGCAGCAGCAGCGCGAGCAGCAGCAGCAGCAGAGCGAGCAGCAGCAGCAGCAGCAGCAGGTGGGGAAGTCTTGATTGGGGCTTGACGGGAAAGTACCAAGTGGGGAGGTGGGGGGGCGGGGGGGGGGGGCACGTGAAGGCATGAGCAGGTGTGGGTTGGCCTCCAAGTACTCGAGAGATGGTCGTGACCATCGCACCTGAGATGGTTGCAGCATCACCTTCGAGGAAGGGAGGAAGTAGACGGAGCACCTGAGTGTGATGCACCAAAACCCTTCCCCTCCCTACCCATTTAGGGTTTAGGGTTTAGGGTTTTGGGGTTTAGGGTTTAGGGTTTAGGGTTGGTGCATCACACTCAGGTGCTCCGCCTACTTCCTCCCTTCCTCGAAGGTGATGCTGCAACCATCTCAGGTGCGATGGTCACGACCATCTCTCGAGTACTTGGAGGCCAACCCACACCTGCTCATGCCTTCACGTGCCCCCCCCCCCCCCCGCCCCCCCACCTCCCCACTTGGTACTTTCCCGTCAAGCCCCAATCAAGACTTCCCCACCTGCTGCTGCTGCTGCTGCTCGCTCTGCTGCTGCTGCTGCTCGCGCTGCTGCTGCTGCTGCTCGCATCACTGCTGCTGCTGCTGCCATAGCCCGGCCTCGCAGCCATGCGTTGTGCAGAGGCTGCAAGCCAGCCGACAGCACCTCTTGGCGGCCCCACATCCGCCTCTCCTCCACGCTCATCTTCGGATCGCTAAACCTGTCATACAGTTTTTCCATCTCCCCCCTGTGCCTCTGTATTGCCACTACCTCGTCTAGAGTCAACAAACCCTCGACCAGCGGCAGCATCCCCTCCACGCCCTCAGTCTTAAACACCCGGATAGCTCCAGCCCAGGGTGAAGCCTCTTCCTCCGTCTCAAACCGCCCTCCGCGGTGCTGCTTACCGATCTTGACACTCACGTAGATATTATCTCCGTTGTATACCACTCCAGAAAATCTGCTACCCTCGCGTTCTGGTGCAGGTGGTGCTGGTGGTGCTGGTGGTGCTACTGCTTGCGCTGCCTCTGCTGCTGCTTCTGCTGCTGCTGCTGCTGCTGCTAGTGCTGCTTCGGGTGCAGGTGGCACAACTGCTGTTACTGCTTCTGCTGCTGCAACTGCTGTTGCTGCTGCCGCCGCCGCCGCCGCTGCTGCTGCTGCTGCTGCTGCTTCTGGTGGTGGTGCTGCAGGTGCATGTGGTGCTGCTGCAGGTGCATGTGGTGCTGCTGCAGGTGCGTGTGGTGCTGCAGCAGGTGCATGTGGTGCTGCTGCAGGTGCATGTGGTGCTGCTGCAGGTGCGTGTGGTGCTGCAGCAGGTGCATGTGGTGTTGCTGCAGGTGCATGTGGTGTTGCAGCTGGTGCTGGTGAAAGTGATGCTGCTGGGGGCGATGGTGGTGCAATTGCTTGTGGGGACAATGGTGTTGCCGCTTCAGGAGCAGCAAACTGCTCTACCTCTGCTGCTGTGGTCGCATTGTAACCAACTTCAGATGCAGCCTCAGCCGGAGTAAGAGCAGCTGCAGCACGAGAAGCGGCAGACGATGCTAGAGGAGAGCCAAGCTCGAACACCCTCACCAATTCACCTCCCTGATGAACTCCGCCCGCACTCCCTATGGTGCCACACATCTCCATTCCCCTCTCCCCGCTGTTAGCAGTCGCAGCTGGCAATTGGCTTGATGACCTCGCCTGTTCAAAGTCCGAAATCAGAACGCGCCGCGCAGGGGTTCTCTCCCCACGCCTCTCCTGTCCGCCATCCCCCCCACTATCCAGCCTCATCCGCTCCCTCTTCCTCTCCACCTGCTCCTGCAGTGCAACAATTTTGCACGACATCTGCTGAATCTGACAGGAAAATGGAGAATAAGGAAAAGAGAGAGGAAAAGTTTCAGATATGGAAAGAACCAGAACGGAAGAAGGCAGTGAGGGAGCAAGTGAGAGAGGAGCACGTGACAAATGCATCCTCCTCCCGTTTCCCTAAACTCCCCCTCGCAGCTAATCCTAAAGTCCCACCACACTTGTGTGCGAGAAAGGCATCCGCCTAGGTGAGCCATGGGCGCCTCATCATCACAGCCCACACCAGTCCCGTACCGATCCCACCACGATCTCACCACGGTCCCACACCCATCCCACACCCATCCCACACCCATCCCGCACCCATCCCGCACCCATCCCGCACCCATCCCACACCCATCCCACACCCATCCCACACCCATCCCACACCCATCTCACACCCATCCCACACACATCCCACACCCATCCCACACCCATCCCACACCCATCCCACACCCATCCCACACCCATCCCACACCCATCCCACACCCATCCCACACCCATCCCACACCCATCCCCCACCCATCTCCCGCCCATCCCCCGCCCATCCCACGCCCATCCCACGCCCATCCCACACCCATCCCACACCCATCCCACACCCATCCCACACCCATCCCACACCCATCCCACACCCATCCCACACCCATCCCAAACCCATCCCACACCCATCCCACACCCATCCCACACCCATCCCACACACCCATCCCACACCCATCCCACACCCATCCCCCACCCATCCCCCACCCATCCCACACCCATCCCGCACCCATCCCGCACCCATCCCACACCCATCCCACACCCATCCCACACCCATCCCACACCCATCCCACACCCATCTCACACCCATCTCACACCCATCCCACACCCATCCCCCAAGCCATCCCACACCCATCCCACACCCATCCCACACCCATCCCACACCCATCCCACACCCATCCCACACCCATCCCCCAACTCATCCCACACCCATCCCACACCCATCCCACACCCATCTCCCAGCCATCCCCCACCCATCCCCCAAGCCATCCCATACCCATCCCACACCCATCCTACACCCATCCCACACCCATCCCACACCCATCCCACACCCATCCCACACCCATCCCACACCCATCCCACACCCATCCCCCAGCCATCCCCCACCCATCCCCCAAGCCATCCCATACCCATCCCACACCCATCCCACACCCATCCCACACCCATCCCACACCCATCCCACACCCATCCCACACCCATCCCACACCCATCCCACACCCATCCCCCACCCGTCCCCCACCCGTCCCCCGCCCATCCCCCGCCCATCCCACGCCCATCCCACCCCCATCCCACACCCATCCCACACCCATCCCACACCCATCCCACACCCATCCCACCCCGATCCCACCCGATCCCACACCGATCCTACCCCCATCACACCCCGATCCCACACCGATCCCACACCGTGAGCTGCTCACCTCACTCTGATACTCCGCCTCATCATTCATTTGCTTGTCCAGCGCCTCGCTTAGATCCTTCTGTATGAGCACAAAGCAAGGATTCAAAAGACCCACACATAAGGTTGACGCCAAGACCATGCGTTAAAGGATTGACTATAGATGCAATAGAGCATGGTGTTCTCACCCGCAGGCACTGCACTTCACGCTGCAGTGCAGCGACCTCCCTCTCCGCTGAGGCTCTGCCCTCGGCCTCAGCATGCGCCACCCGCTCCATGCCGACAGCCGCTTCCCGTTCCACATAGAGTTTTTCCTCCAGTTTGGCAATCTGAAAAGCAACGGAGGGAAGGGCATGGATGGCATCGGTTGGACTCATGGGCAAATGTTTTGTGCATGTGAGTGTGTGCGTAATGCGAGGGTCTGTGTGAAAGCAAATCTGTATGCTTCAACGGCATGTTTGTGTTGCAGATACTTTAAGCGTGTGCACGTCTTTGCTAATCCCCCTCTTCCCTTGCCCCGCCCAGTGGAAGAAGAAGCACGCAGAACAGGGAAGGGAAGCAGCCAGACCTCTCCCCTTACCGGTAACCGGATACCCCTGTCTCACCTTGTCTCCTTACTCCCCCTTCCCCTCCCTACCCATCAAAGAGTTGAAGCGCTTGGGCAGAAGCAGCAGTGAGGAAGCGGCTTTGGGGCGACACCCACCTACGGCTGCGGCGGCATGGGGACCACTGGGTGTCAAGCTTCTGTCCTCTGCCACCGCGCGCCTCGCCTCCAAGCAGAGCCTCTATCCACCATCAGTCAGAGATATGGAAATTACCTCCATAGCAGCGGTGGGTGGTGGCACTGCAGAGCAGCCAGGCCAGCGTGCTCCACGTCAAGGCCTGCCGGGTGGTTGCAGCCTCCTACCCCCAAGCAACGGCGGACCCGGCCCATCGCCCTCATGGACCCCCGCCCATCGCCCTCATGGGCCTCCTCTCTGTCCCGGAGGCCTCAGCCTGAACTCGGGCCACGACAGCAGCACCGCCCCTCTCGGAACCGCCCTGAGCCAGCCACTCCCGCAAAGAAACCTCCCCGACCCTTCCCGAGCCCATAATACCAAGCCTGCCCTTCCGGTGGTACCCTCCCTGCCCCTGCGCAGAACTTGCCGTCCGATCTGAACTAGAGTAGCTAGACAACTCCCCCAGCTCCCATCTTTCCCCCCCATTCCTTGACTTACACCCACCATACCACTCACCAGGCGGGCTTAGCTCGTTGCATAAGTTGTCATACACAACATAACCTTTGACGTTCCTCTTTTACTCAATGACAATGACCGTTCAGGGAATAAGAAGAGGGGGGGGGGGGGGTGCAGATAGGCCGGAAGGAAAAGAGGCAGAGGGGAAGAGATGCAGTGAAGTACAACGGTGAAAGGGTAACGAGGATTGCTGTCACTCACCGTACTCTCCTTCTCCGCCATTGCAGCTCGATGCAACGCCACGTGCCGTTCGAATTTTGAAACTTCCCCCTCAAACTGGTAAGTGCGGGTGAGAGAGGGGTAGGTGAGAGAGAGGGGGGAAGATGACAGGGAGGGAGGTGAGAGAGAAGCCAAAAGAAATTGCTGCCACTCATTGTTCTCTCTTTCTCTGCAGCGATTGCTTGCTCCAAGGCCACTTGCTGTTCCATTCCAGAAACTCTCGCCTACAGCTTACTCCACTTACCTCCTGCACGAGCTCGCGTTTCTCATGGTCAACCCGCTCCACCTTCTCGTCCAAACTCTTCATCCGCTTATTTCCTTCCTCTAGATTCCGTTCCGCTTCAACCCGCCTTGCAACTTCCTCATTCAGATTCCTCTCCAAAGCTTCCACCCTCTCCCTTGCCGCTGCTGCCTCATTCTGCAGATTTCGCAAATTCACTTCATTCGTCTCCATCCCCACTCAAGCAGGAACCTGCAGGATACATGAAAGGGAGAAACAAGCAGAGAAGGGCGTAAAGAAGGGCGTAGAGTTTCCATGTCAGGGAGAGAGAGTTGGGCGGATGGGTGGAGCAGCAGATATATGAGAGAAGACACACACACGCACACACACACACACACACACACACACACACACACACACACACACACACACACACACACACGTGTGGAGACGTGCGGACAGGGGAGACGTGCGGACAGGGGAGACGTGCGGACAGGGAAGACGTGCGGACAGGGGGACTTGGTAACATGGTGGTGGAGGGAGGGGCTGGGCAGGGAGGTTGGGGCAGTGGTAAAAGGGCAGGGCAGGGAGGGGGGGCTTACGGCTGACGTACCTCGTGTAGGAACGCAAAACTCCATGGGTGCTTGTGGTGTGTTTTCCTAGGCAGACGCTCCGCCTCGTGTTATCCGTGTTGAGCCCTAGGATCGGGAGATGCTCTGGCCTGGAGGGGAGATGATAAAACGAGGGGAAGAAGAGGGGGATATGAGAGGAAGGAGAGGGCGGGGAAATGAGTCTAAGCAGAGGAGGAAACGAGGGGAAGCATAGGGAGGTGTAAGGGATCAGCAAGGGCCGAAATGGGGGGAAGCAGAGGGGGATATGAGAGGAAGGAGAGGGATTTAGCGCATTCCAAGTACGTAGGCAAGTCCCACTATGCATCACGCTTTTCGCCAAATACAACGCACGTGTTTACGTGTACACAGTGCAACGCCACACAATGCGTTGCAAAAGACGGCCCGACAGAGCTGCCGTACGCAGGCATGGTACCGCGTGACCCATAATGGCAGATTTGATAGCATTGTAGCTCAGCACACACGCAAGCAGAGTGTCACACTGCCTATACCCAAGCCCCCGCACTAGCAGGAAAGCGTAAAGAAGGTCAATGAAAAGGAACAGAAGGACGACCCTTATGAGTCGTACTTGGCTCCCGGCACCCCTCTTGCGCACCGCAGCGGGGCTTGCGATGGGGGGAGAGAGGGGTGGGAAGTGGTGGGGGAGAGGTGAAGCATGGAAGTGGAGGCTTAGCAGATGCGCAAGGATCACAGCCGGGCTGCGCGAATGGTACGTGAGGGGGAGCAGGGTGGGCGCATACCGCAGGCCTTGCAGAGAGTTGAAGAAGAAGGCTGACCCTTTCTAGTCGTCTCTAGGCTTCCGGCTCTGAGCCTCCCTCCTGCGCACCACAGCAGGGCCTGCAAGGGGGGAAGAGAGGGTTCGGGGAGGGGAAGAGAGAGAGAGTTGGGGGAGCCTGATTGGACGAGACCCAGGGTAGGTGGGGGGAGCGGGGAGCAGGTGTGAGAGGGACAATGGCACCACCGATGCTTTCGCTATCGAATCTGAGCCTTACTGTTGTGTACCATAGCTGGGCCGGTAACATGGTGGTGGAAGGGAAGGTGACATAAGGAAGAGATCGACTCTTATGAGTTTTCTTTAGGCCCCCAGCTGTGACTCTCCCTCTTGCGCACCGCTGCGGTGCCTGCGATGGGGGGAGAGAGGGGTGGGAAGTGGGTGGGTTAGAGGTGCAGCATGGAAGTGGATGCTGTTGCGCCATCCAGGTTCCAAGCCGAACCACTCTCTACGGTCACTAAAAAATACGGCAACCACTTACGTGGTTGCAGGTGTCCTTCTCGTATCGGTAGGTTAGCTGCGAGGTGAACTGGAGAAATCCACCCAGTGCGATGGAGGCGTGCGTTGCGACGGCTTGCTGTTCGACGTGAGCTTTCTGCCAGCAAACTGAAAGATGATCTGAACGAGAAAGCAGCTAAGCTGTTTGTATGACGCTTTGTGGGATGTGGGTACGGGTACCCGCGAGAAGGCTAGTGGAGGAGTCATTGTGGTTTGGGGGTAGGGGACACCCGATCCACGGGTTCGGCGAGTGGTACTTCTTAGGTGTTCTGGTGGGGTGTGATGTGGCACGCTAGCTCCAAGGACGCCAAGTAATATTGTCGCAGCGCGTTGCTAGCTAACTCCAAGGAGAAACAAATGTGCTCTTGGGCTTTGCTTCTGGAGGCTTGGTTATGGGGATTTCGAATTTCCGATCTGGAGTTCCATACTCTTTACAAGCATTGCTGGTTTGCATCTTAGGTTCGTGTTCTACTTCCTCGGTTTGCAAAAGAAATCAAACCGTCACATTTTTGGGTAAACGCGATTGAGGATTTTCTGTGCAATCGGAAGCGGTTCGTTTGGTTGTAATTGAACCTGGTTACCAAATTCTCGCCTGCACTATCGTTTGCTTTCGCACCATCATTCTCGTCCCTTCACACAATCATCAGTCACCGCCAACGGCGATGCAACAGATTCAACAGATTCAAAACATTGATACATTGATCGCGGATATGCTCTCCGCCTTCTCCGCCATCAGGCGGCCATGGATTTCGCCGAGTCAAACGCAGTCAACATTCTCGCATACATGCCTCACTAAGCTTACTATCGGGATCAAGTGTACTGCCTTTAACTTTAGGAATGGATTACCTGTCATTGTTGCTGACATCGGTAACTCCTGTTACAAGGCAGCTCCCCGTGGTCAATGTCAGGCTCCCTCGAGATTCACGGCTGTTTCAGGCTCGCGTCATGGTTTTTATATCAATGACAACACTACGCTTCATAACTCTATTTATATCATCATCAATGGAGCTACCAAGGTCTCAACCTCGAGATTACAATATCTACTGCTGGAACCCCTGGAGCCAGACAAGTTCAGGGATCTATTTAAGTTTCTTGTGCTCAGTTACCAGACATTCACTGCATTCACAGAGTGTGCTCGGCACGCTCTCCTGCTGCCTGGTCTTACTCATCATCACACAATGTCTCATCCTGCTGATGCTCCTGCTCCGCCAAAGGGTCAGCGCTCGCGGTTGACCCCTTTTCTGCCTGCTCCAACGGAGACTGATAGCTCCAAGACTGTCAAGTCCCCTGCAGTTCATGGCATTGACAAGACGGTGTCGTCAGATTCTGGTGGTTCTGGACTGTCTGCAGAAGATAAGGCAACCATACCTTCCGTGGGAGTAACTGATGACGATGGTTTCATTGATGATGATTCGGATGAGGAAATGGTTATCGACTTGGACAAGGAAGCTGGTCTCGGTCTGCGCTCTGTCGCGATCTTGCTGATTCCTTTCATGCTGCACAAGGAGATTTCCTGCATCATTCACGCTGTCAAAGCACTAATAACACATGGATGGTACACAGAGTTATCAGAGGACGCGGCATCTGCGACAAAGTTTCAGGAGATTAAGACGACATATATCGCCAAGACACGTTATTGTCGCCTGCAAGTATCGTTCAAGAAGGAGTCAGATGCGGAATGGGTGCGGAAAAAGGAGGTGATATATCAACCGCTGGCGAACAAGGGACAACTCATTTCTCTTCACTGGCAACATACGGAGGATGCGGCTTTTGCTCGAGAGAAGGCAATGAATCCGCTCGCCATCGAGTTCATGATCACCGGTGTCTCCGCTGCCGTTGAGCTGGTCCTCATTCATGATCGCATGGCGACTTACCCACTTACCAGCACAAAGCGGTCGGCCTTCCTGCGCTGCTCGTGTCTGCATCGTGTGCTTCATCCCGTCACTGGTGCTGACACGGACGTCGTTAAGGGACTGGTCTACGCTCACCCTGAGAACAGGAACCGTCGCATGATTCACTTGATCGCTGATCCTGCCGACAGGGCGAAGAAGTTGCTCATTCAGTACCCTTCATTGACCTGCTCACTTTGTGGCGGCGAGCATTATGATAAGTATCATGATGCTTTTGTCACTGAGCGTCAGAATAATGTTAGCAAGTGGAAACTAACCCTTGGCAGTGTGCACAGACTTAACGGTAACAGCAGCAGTTTTCTTCTCGCTCTTTTTCGGCTTCGTCGTTCCCTCTCACGTACTAACCTCTCTCTGACCTCTCGCAGCTGCGTCGCTGAAAGCCTCCTCGTTTTTTCTTCCCATCCTCCGCGATCCGGCTATCGCTCTCGTCTCCACCGGCAGCAGCAAGGAAGAGTGGATCTGCACTCTAGCGGGTTGCGGAAAAGCAAAAGGGAAGAGTCTTATGGCTGCCGTCCAGCACATCACTGCTGCTGCTCACCTGCTCGAGCTGAAGAAAGATGGACCGGCCACGAAGGAGTCGCTCGACAAACTGAACCTGGATGTCATTCGCACGGAGTACAAACTGTGACTGAGCTCGAACGTTACCTTGACGCAGCAGCCTGTTGGTGTTTAGGAGTCAGTGTAGCTTGCGTCGCCTCATTTCTCAGCCTGTGGATGATCAGGGGCTGCAAGACAGTGTATCAATGATTTATAAAAACCACCTCACCATCGCGAGCCTGAACGTCAACGGCTTAGGAACAAATAGGATAAAACAGGAGCGAGTTACCACATGGATGAAAGATTCGGCGGACATTGCTGTACTGATTGACACTAGGATAGATAACAGCCATTCCTTCTGGTCAAGACTCACCTCGTACGAAGCCTTAGTTAATCCCCCTAGAGCCAGCGCTGGCGGAGTAGCAATCCTCTGCAGTGATGATAACATTACATTTCATGACACGGAGTTACACCCGTCAGGTAGAATAGTCAAGACAGCAGTTAAAGGGACTGGACTAGACCTCACACTGGTTGCCGTTTACCTTCCGTCACACACTACTCCCCGTTCCGCCTTCATCAGAGATGTCCTTGGCCCGGTCATTGACACAGTTCCGCCTTCCTCTCACCTTCTTATCATCGGTGACTTGAACCTGACGGACGATCCAAAGCTGGACAGATCCTCAGGCTCAGGCTCGTCGACTGAAAACGAGAAGCTCCTCTTGCGCTGCACCACATTCCAACTTTCCGACGCCTTTCGCACTCTGCACCCACGGGACAGAGAATACACATTCTACGCGCACTCGCATCGCTGCAACACTCGCATTGATCGTGCACTTGTCTCGCAATCACTTTTAACTCACCTTGTTATCGCCAGGCATGACATGCCGAAGGAGCCCATCTCAGACCATGGTTTCGCGATCCAAGTTGCTTTCCGTCTGGATGAGAAAATCTGCACAGGTCCGGGCATCTGGAGGCTTCATGCCTCGTTGGTACGGAGGCCGGGAGTGCGGAGGATTATTGAGGCTACAGTTTGCAGAACGACGGTGAAAGATGGCAGCAGCTTTGAGCTTGTACTTGCTCGGCTGGGGGCTGGTTTAAGGGCGTATGCACGGGAGGAAAGCAAACGTGTTAAGAAAACACTGGCTCAGCTGGTCAGTAGGGTCGCGCTGCTGAAACAAGAGTTGATGCGGAATCCGACATGCAGTATTACACGGGATGCGCTTGCAGCTAAGGAACTGCAGCTGAAATCGTACCAGGAAGCGAGGAGGGAGAGGCTGCATCTGCAGGCCGGATTGAAAGAGGAGCTGACCGGCGAAATCGCCTCAAAACATCTGTCTGCAAAAGTCCGAGCGAGGAAGGCTCGTACTCAAATCAAGGAGCTGAGGGAAGGTGGTCGCACGGTGACTGGGGTGCAGCAAATTCTTGGTGCTGCGTCGGCCTTTTTCAATAACATCTTCGGCACAGACCGTCGTACGGATTTCTCGAGCTGGGTGTTTAATCCAAGCCGGTGCTTGGGGAAAGAAGCAGAGGACATGTTAAGGGCGGATTGGTCAGAGCAAGAAGTTAAAGAAGCTTTCACATCAATGGCGAGGAACAAATCACCAGGGATGGACGGTCTTCCCAAGGAGCTGTTCGAGTGTCACTGGGACCTGCTGGGGGATGGTTTCATGGCTATGGTCAAAGACTTCGAACGGTCAGCTTCGCTCCCGGAGGAACTCAAGGAGGCGGTCACGATCCTGTTGCACAAGAAGGGTGACCGGGACCAGTTAACCAACTACAGGCCCATCACGCTCCTCAATTTCACATATAAGGTGCTGGCAAAAGTAATGGCGGACAGAATGAAGCGGGTGCTGCATCAGGTCATCTCACCGGAGCAGTACGGTTTTATCCCGGGGAAGCGACTGTCTGACGCGGTCGCGCTGGTGGCTGACGTCATTGATGTGGCGAGAAACGAGAAGATGGACTGGTACATGCTATTGGTTGATTTCCAGAAGGCCTTTGACTCGGTGTCAAGAGATTTTCTCTTCCAGGTGCTTCGAAAAATGGGGTTTCCGGAGCGATACGTTGGCTGGATTGAGGGCCTGCATGAAAACACCACGACGAAGCTGCTGGTTAACGGCTGGCTCGGGGAAGGACTAAATGTGGTCTCGGGGGTGCGGCAGGGATGCCCTCTTGCCCCTTACCTCTTCCTGTGTGCGGTGGAGCCTTTGGCTCAGGAGGTGGAGAAGGCAAAGCTGGGGCTTGACAAGGATGGGCAGCAGCTGAGCTACCTCGGCTACGCTGATGATACGACGCTCATTCTGCATGGGAAAGAGCAAATTGTTAAGGCGGAAGTGATTTTGGACAATTTCGAAAAAGCAGCAGGTCTGGCAACAAACAAAGGGAAATCCGTGGTGTTACCTCTGGGGATTAATATCGGAGAGGCGGCGGACGGCTCGTCTGACTTCAAATGGGCCGGTGCAAATGATGCTGAACGCCTGCTGGGGGTATGGGTGTCTCCCTCGGGGGATGGGCAAGCGACATGGGAGAAGGCAATCGGTCGCGTCGCTGAAAAGCTGGTGAAATGGAAGCAGAAGTACCTGACGACGGCGGCGCGTGCATCGGTGGTGAATTTTTACATTACTCCGTTGATCGCGTTCCAAGCTCAAGTCTACCCGCCGCCTGCAGAGGTCTGGGAGGACTTGGTGCGCATGCTGCATGGTTTCTTATCTGGCAACAGAGTATCAGCGGCGAAAGGTTTCTTTCTCTGGAGCAAAGTTCTGCTATACACGACGAGAGAGGCGGGCGGAATTGGAGTTAGAGACCCGGAGATTGTTATCACCTGTCTGGCGGCGAGAAGGGCGGGACTATACGTCACGGAAAATAACTGCTTAAAGAAAGATTTGATGGAGCGGGCGGCGAAGCTTCCTCTGGGCGTCGACTCGTTTGGGGCCCATGAAAAGCTCTTCAAAAACTGGGAAGGCGGAAGTGTCCGCTAGAAGCAGACGTGTGAAAGCCTCTCCGGCTCGCCGCTGTGTCTACGTGGTCCAGCCAGAACGAGAGAGGAGATCCTGCAGGAGCGGGTTGTTTTTAACAAAAACATACTGATGCTCGGGACCACTCCGATCGGGGGACAAAAGGATGCCAGGAAGCTATGGGACCTGCGGCTTGGGGATTTATTCTCACGAAGTGAGGATGGGGTGCTATTGCCGAAGTCGGTTGCAGAGCTAACGGCACTCCTGGGCAGCAGTGGCCCGGCGAAGCTGGCACTGAAAGCTGTGGGATCGATACCAGCTAGGTGGTGCAGAGAGTTAGGCTTTCCGACCGTACTCCCCTGTTCGGCTGACTCGCTTCAGCAACTGGTGATCCTGGAGGAGGGGCACATAATTCCCTTGAAGAAGATGAAGGAGGGTTGGGTAGAGGCCCGGAAGGAGTCCTACAAGCGTGCAAAATGGGCGGCACGCTGGGGTGGTGTCATTGATTGGAAACGGGCTGTGAACACGCGAGACTCGCTGGCGGTTCCTAACCGTCCACGTGCTGTGCTTACCAGAATTCACGGTCTGAATCTGCAAGTGGGGGAGAGACTGGCGTTCCTCAGCAGCAAGCCGGTGTGCCCTTATTGCGGGGAAACTGAGACTTTGGAGCACTGCCTGGTCCTCTGCCCCAAGATCCAGATGGTTTCCGGGGCCCTTCGGCGCGCTCTGGGCATGCTAAATCCCAGCCGCACGACAGTCACGCTGGGTGATCTTCTGTTTCAGGAGGCTGGAACCAGCTCAGCTTTTCCGGAGCTGACGTTGATATCAATCACTTTGCACCAATTATGGCTCGAGCGGTGTGAAGCGGTCTTCAGGGGGCAAAAGTTTCGGACACAACGAGTCTTGAGACGGATTGAGGTGGCATTTCGGCAGCATGTGAGACTGTACACCCACAGATCGGGGCCAACGTGGCAGAAGCGGAGGCAGCAGGATTCATCGGAGGAGCGGAACATGCTTGGGAAAATCAGGGAGGTTGGCAAGGGAAGGTGGAAGAGTGGCTTTGCAGCATTATGGTCGGCACGGAGGGCCAATAACACTCGGCCCTAGAATCTTATCTGGAGCAAGGGGTTCCCCCTAGTTCCTCACGCACGGTTACGACCGTTCTTGTCAGTATATGCTTGTACACTCGGTGTATACTTTCAATTATCATTAAAAAAAAAAAACAGTCACCGCCAAAACGAAAATACGCGTTCTGATTTCTTCGAAATCAGGCGTTATCTCCACCCACCCACCTACGACGTTACCGCCAGTCGCCCCCTTTCCGGGAGTGGCGCAGACGACGCGTAGCCCTCTCGACGCTCTGACCGCGCTTCACTAATGTTTTCGCTTCTTCGCCCCCATGGCGTCAGTGCTGCGAGCGCGCATGCTCTTGTTCGCAACTGCGCGCAATGCTGGCGCGAAGGGCGCGAATAACGGGGAGGCGACGCCGCTGCTTCATTTGCTGGCGCGGCAGCGAATAGGCGGGATGGGAGGGGAGCGGAGTATGAGGGCTCGCGCGGCGGCGTGAGGATCAAGAGCCGCGTAGCCCTTCTCGCACCGCATCCCCGCTCTCTCGCTCTCCTCCCGTCCGCGCATCGTCCGTGACGGTGGAGGCGCGCGCAACGACGGTGATGGGCGGCGGCATCCGCGAGGCACGCTTGGCGGCAGGTGAATGCTGGTGGGGGGATGGCGGGGAGGAGAGGGGCAGGCGGGGAGAAGAGGGGCAGGCGGGGAGAAGAGGGGCACAATGAAAGGGATGCGAGAGGAGGAGACGACTCACCTTGCTGTGCCGCTTGCCTCCCTCCATACCATACCACCACATGCTTTGATAAGACTCGGGTATTGAAGCTTCTGAATAGGTGGCGCTCCTGCTCCCAGCCTCCTCCCCGCGTGCACGCAGCAAGTACCCTCAGTGGCTCTATTATGTCGTCTGAGTCGAATGAATCGCCATCCTGCTCTGCAGCGGGTACCCCATCGTACCCCGTCGTACCCCATGGTACCCCATCGTGCCCCATCGTACCCCATCGTACCCCATCGAACCCCAAGTAACTCAAGGGACTGGCTGTTTGGAGTTAGTCTGATCGCCCTCCCTTCCCCCTCCCCCTCTTCTCCCTCTCCCCTCCCACGTCCCCGTCCCCCCGTTCCCCTTTTTCTCTTCTGAGACAGGCGCCAGCAGTGTTCTCGTTGCTGCCATGGCCCACGAGCCGCCACAATGACTGCGCTCACTCCTCTGCTGTCCCCGCTTCTGCTGCGCCTTCCCCTGCTGCTGCCGATGCTTCTTTCCGCCCCCCCACTCGCATCCGCGCCTCCTCCTCAGATACGTCTGTGGTTGCCTCGTTGTGCGAGGAATCGTTCATTTGCTGTCTGTCTGCGTCACTGCACGCCTTTCCTCTCCCCATGGACGAGATTTGAGAGATCATTCAACTTGCTGCAATGCGCCCCATTTGCCCTCTCCCCATCTCCCATCCCCATCTCCCGTTCCCATTTCCCCTCCCCATCCTACCTTCCCCACCCTCTCCCCATTTTCATCTTCTCCCCCTTCCACCCTCTCCGCTTGCCCATCCACTTGCATTAGGCGCTTCAATGGTATCTCTGCCCCTCGTTCGGGGACGTCGCACGGGCAACTACTGTCAATAGCTCGCCCATGCTGACTTGTCTGTTGGATCCCAGGTTTCATCATTTTGCGTGGTATACCGATACTGTGTATGAGATGTATATTGTTACATGACAAGCTGCACTGAATACTACTGGTGCCAACTCAACGAGTGTCACAACCAGATGCAGAGCAACAACACAGCCGCACAAAGGCCACACTATTCCCGTACACAGAAGCAGCCGCTCATTTGCGCGTCCGCTCGCGAGTAACATTTTCTACGTCCGATCGACGTAGGCGAGATCATGCGAATTTGTCTCAACGAATCACCGTCGTCGTAGTCGTCGCGCCGGCGCGGCGCGGCGCGACTGACTCCCATGGCCTTCAGCAGTGCGAACCGCCGCGACTGCAACGGTCACATTCACAACCACGGTAGCGGTAGTCGCTGCGAGAGCAGCAGCAGCGGCGAGAGCGAGCAGTGGCGGAAAGCGCAGGTGCGCGGAATGCTGCGCGCGCCCATGGGTTACTTTTCTCACTAGTAGACTATTCGTCCCTTTGCTACAGGCGACTCTGCCTACTGCTGCCCTTCGTCATGAGCTCAGATCAGTGGCGGAACGAGCAGTGGCGGCGAGCGCATGTGCGCGGAATGCTGCGCGCGCCCATGGCGCGCGCGCGCGTGGTGTCCATTGACGACCTCGTCGTCTCCGCCCGCCACCTGCCCCGCCCGCCGCTGGATACTATGAGTCTGGGGGGAAGCGCGGGGAGGGCGAATTGGGGCTCACATGCCGGGCGGCCTGCCGCCGCGCTGCCAGCCACCTGCCAGCGTGGCAGCGCCGGGTGCGGGGAGAGTGACGTGGAGAGGTGGGGCATGGTGTGTGCGCGCCACGTGGCGAGTGGGCGGCAGGTGAATGTGTTTGTGTACACCCACCCACTCATCCACCCCACCATGCACCCCAGCATCAGCATGCGACGGCAGGGCCCCATCCCCCAGGGACTCTCAGAGGGTGCGACCTTTTCTCTCCAAAACGCGCTGCTGCTGCCTGCCACAACCGCCTCTGCTGTCAGGTAGCACCCGCTGCTCTTCCCCCCTTCCTGCGCATCTAAAGCTGTGCTGCCTTGCTGTAGGACCCTCTCACTCACTCCCTACTACTTTAGCTTGTGTGCGCTACAATCTCTCTGCTGTTGCGTTTGACCCGTTGCCGTGCGGTGCGACAATGTGGAATGGAAGCGACATGTGGCTGCGGTAGCTAATCTCTCACTCTCTCTCTCCCTCCGCCCACCTCGGCCCAGCTCAGGTGACCTGGCCATCTGCCGCGGGCCTGCTGGGGTGCAAGCACAAGGGAGTGCATTGAATGACGCAGCACATGACAGCAGGGGCGGGGAGGGCGCGCATTCAGGCCAAGAGGTGGTGCGAGTGCGGATGGTCGCTTGCTCCCACATGCTGCTGCTCTCCCCTGCCCCTCCTCCCCCGGCTCCTGCTGATGCTATTGCCGCTGCGACTGCTACTCCCAATCCTTCAAATCCTACTCCTCCTCCTATTAGTTTCAGGCAAGCTCCGCCCAGGTTCCACACACAGCATCCTGCCACAAGTGCACCCGTGCCTGCTCCTGTGCCTGCTCCTGTGCCTGCTCCTGTGCCTGCTCCTGTGCCTGCTCCCGTGAATGCTCCCGTGAATGCTCCTGTACCTGCACCCATGCCTGCTCCCGTGCGTGCTGCAGCAGCGACAGAGGGTCGGGTGAGAGGGGGTGCAGGAGAGATGGTGCAGTGACATGGGCAGTAGGGGAGGGACGAGGGTGGAGGAGAGATGGTGCAGTGACATGGGCGGTAGGGGAGGGAAGAGGGTGGAGGAGAGATGGTGCAGTGACATGGGCGGTAGGGGAGGGAAGAGGGTGGAGGAGAGATGGTGCAGTGACATGGGCGGTAGGGGAGGGAAGAGGGTGGAGGAGAGATGGTGCAGTGACATGGGCGGTAGGGGAGGGGAGAGGGTGGAGGAGAGATGGTGCAGTGGCATGGGAGGCAGATGCGCGAGCACGGCAGGCAGTGCAGCTGAATGGGCACGAGGAGGAAGCAGTGCGGGGATGATAGGGAGGGAGGGGCGCGGAGGGGGTGCAGTGCCGCAGGCACGTGGGGGAATGGGCGGGGCAGCTCTTGAGTTGAGTCATAAGCCACATGGAGAGGAGGCGGTGGTGCTGGGATGGGGAGGAATGGGTGGGGCAGGCAGCGGCAGGGAAGGGATGCGGACGAGAGAGGGGCGAGGAGGTGTGGGTGGAGGAGGCATGGCGGGAGGAGGCGTGGCGGGAGGAGCGGGTACAGAGGGAGTGCGCACTCGATGCTGGGTGAGAGGGGGGTGGCAGTCAGAGAGATGGTTGAGTTGAGAGTGGGTGATGGTGCTGCTGTATGGAGCGTGTGGTGTTAGAGTGTGTGGTGTTTGAGTGTCCGGTGTGTGTGTGTGTGATGATAGCCCAGTGTGGAGTGGAGTGCGGTGCATCATGGGTTACACACATGTCTGAAAGTGTGGTTCCCTTAGTTTTGTCCGGGCAGATGCGGTGCGTTCATAAGGAGCCATGCCACACGTCCTATTCCCCTCCTCTCCCAGCAAGCAGCAGTGCACTCTGTGTGCCTGCTCCCTGTGTGCCCTTCAGCCTCGTTAACCTTTTCCAGCTCCTCATTTCTTTCCCCCTCCCCCCTCTTTTTCATTCCAACCCCCCCCCCCCCCCCCCCTCTCCTTCCAGCTAGCAGCAGTGCACTCTGTGCGTGTGCTCCCTGTGTGCCCGCCTGCACATGTGTGTGAGAGAGGGGAGGCCTTGCGTTGGCCCGCCCACGGGGTTGGGAGGTTGCAGGCAGGGCGACAGCAGGCAGGGCCGCAGGCAGGGCCGCAGGCAGAGCCGCAGGCAGAGCGGCAACAATCAAAACAGCAGCAGGCAAGGCGAGAGCAGGGAGAAAGGGAAGATCATGCTTGTGCGAGAGGGTGGAGGGCGGTGGCGGGTGGAATGGATGGGCATGCTTCAAGGAATGGCGATGCTAGGGAGCGTGCTGGTGTGTTGCACAAAAGGGAGGAGGAGGAAAAAGCGGTTGGCGGTGGGAGGGAGGAGGCGGAAGCGTGTCCGATGGAGGAAGAGGAGAATGGAGGGAATGAGGGCGAGAAAGAAGTGGGAGGAGGTGAGAGAGAGGCAAAAGGGATTGCAGAGGAGGAGGAAACTGGAGAGGAGTGTGCAGAGAAGCATGTGGGTGGGGGGAAGGAGTGGTGGCAGGAGGTGCTAGAGGTGTTTAGGGAGGAAGAGCGTGAGGTGGAGAGGAGCGGGGTGGAGGGGCGCTGGACGGTGGGGCGTGGAGAGGGGGAGATGAGATGTGGTGACCAAAGGGGAGAGAGTGAGGGAGTAAATGACTTGAGCATGGAAGGGAGTGGTTGGAGTGATGAGGATTTGGAAGCGAGTGAGGGAGAGGGGGAAGGGAGGGCAGAGCACAGTGAATTGAGAAGTGAAATGAGGAGGGAAGGGGGAGTGAGCGGAGATGAGAGAGGTGTCAACAAGGTGAGTGGAGACGTGGCGAGTGGTGACGAGTGGATGGAAGGTGATGATGGGGGCGCAGAGGCATGCAGGGAGGCGAGTGGATGGGATGATGACGACGAGTGCATGCGAGAGGAGGGGGGGGAGGAGAGTGAGGAGGAGGGGAAGGAGGAGTGTGAGGAGGAGGGGAAGGAGGAGTGGAAGGATGAGTGGGAGGAGGAGGGGGAGGAGGAGTGTGAGGAGGAGAGTGAGGAGGAGAGTGAGGAGGAGAGTGAGGAGGAGAGTGAAGAGGAGAGGAACGAGGGGAGGAACGAGGGGAGGGACGAGGAGAGGAAAGAGGTGAGGAAAGAGGAGAGGAAAGAGGAGAGGAACGAGGAGAGGAACGAGGAAAGGAACGAGGAGAGGAATGAGGAGAGGAATGAGGAGAGGAATGAGGAGAGGAATGAGGAGAGGAATGAGGAGAGGGACGGCAGCGGCAGGGGGGGCAGCAGGTGGAGGCAGCGCAGGGTGTGTGGGGCGTGTGGATGCGACACGGAGAGGCACGGCGTGCTGGTGGCTCACCTGCTCTGCTCCCTCGGTAACTAGCCCTCCTGCCGCCGCCCCGCATCCCTCCCGCTCTGCCCCACACCCCTCCTGCCGACGCCCCACACCCATCCCCTTCCTCCTCCCCATGCCCCTCTCCCTCCGCTCCCCTTCCCGCCCTCATCCTTGTGCATTCTAGCACCGCACTTTTGCCTATTTTCACCGTTTCGTCTTACCATCTCTTCACTCTGCCCCGTCTCCTTTTCCCCTTTCCTCTCCCCCTCCCCCCCCTGCAGACAATGGCAGCTGCATCTTCCGAGCAGCTGCCAGTGGCTCCGAGGCGGCGCTTCTCCTCTTCGCCGCCCGCCTGCCGCCCCTCCCGTGCACCAATTACCCATGCCGGGCGGCACAACTTGGCGCATCTGCGAATTCGGCATGGCAGGCGGCAGCGGGATGGGCGCGAAATGCAAGGGGAGGGGGGGCGAGGGAGGCGGAGGGGAGGGAGGCGGAGGGGAGGGAGGCGGAAGGGAGGGCGGTGGTGGGGTGGGGAGCCGTGCAGCTTTTGAGTCGACTGGAAGGTCAGCAGGGTGTGAAGGCAGGGGGGATGTGGGAGGCGGAGTGGAAGGAGGTGCAGCGGCGGGTGCGGAGACTGGTATGTGAGCGGGGGGTGGTTGAGGTCGGGGTGAATAGCTTGACATGGGGCGAGGAGGGGAGGAGGACAGGGGGATGGAAGGAGGGGAGTGGTGCGAGGAAGAGGGGTGCTTCTGATGTGGAGATTTGGTGGGGTCAGGATGAAAGGGAGGAGAATAGGGAGGAGAATAGGGAGGAGAATAGGGAGGGGAAAAGGGAGGAGAATAGGGAGGAGAATAGGGAGGAGAATAGGGAGGAGAATAGGGAGGAGAATAGGGAGGAGAATAGGGAGAAGAATAGGGAGGAGGATAGGGAGGAGGATAGGGAGGAGAATAGGGAGGAGAATAGGGAGGAGAATAGGGAGGAGAATAGGGAGGAGAATAGGGAGGAGAATAGGGAGGAGAATAGGGAGGAGAATAGGGAGGAGAATAGGGAGGAGAATAGGGAGGAGAATAGGGAGGAGAATAGGGAGAAGAATAGGGAGGAGGATAGGGAGGAGGATAGGGAGGAGAATAGGGAGGAGAATAGGGAGGAGAATAGGGAGGAGAATAGGGAGGAGAATAGGGAGGAGAATAGGGAGGAGAATAGGGAGGAGAATAGGGAGGAGAATAGGGAGAAGAATAGGGAGGAGGATAGGGAGGAGGATAGGGAGGAGAATAGGGAGGAGAATAGGGAGGAGAATAGGGAGGAGAATAGGGAGGAGAATAGGGAGGAGAATAGGGAGGAGAATAGGGAGGAGAATAGGGAGGAGAATAGGGAGGAGAATAGGGAGGAGAATAGGGAGGAGAATAGGGAGGAGAATAGGGAGGAGAATAGGGAGGAGAATAGGGAGGAGAATAGGGAGGAGAATAGGGAGGAGAATAGGGAGGAGAATAGGGAGGAGAATAGGGAGAAGAATAGGGAGAAGAATAGGGAGGAGGATAGGGAGGAGGATAGGGAGGAGGATAGGGAGGAGAATAGGGAGGAGAATAGGGAGGAGGATAGGGAGGAGAATAGGGAGAAGAATAGGGAGGAGAATAGGGAGGAGAATAGGGAGGAGAATAGGGAGGAGAATAGGGAGGAGAATAGGGAGGAGAATAGGGAGGAGAATAGGGAGGAGAATAGGGAGGAGAATAGGGAGGAGAAGAGGGAGGAGAAGAGGGAGGAGAATAGGGAGGAGAATAGGGAGGAGAATAGGGAGGAGAATAGGGAGGAGAATAGGGAGGAGAATAGGGAGGAGAATAGGGAGAAGAATAGGGAGGAGAATAGGGAGGAGGATAGGGAGAAGAATAGGGAGGAGAATAGGGAGGAGGATAGGGAGGAGAATAGGGAGGAGAATAGGGAGGAGAATAGGGAGGAGAATAGGGAGGAGAATAGGGAGAAGAATAGGGAGAAGGATAGGGAGGAGGATAGGGAGGAGAATAGGGAGGAGAATAGGGAGGAGAATAGGGAGGAGAATAGGGAGGAGAATAGGGAGGAGAATAGGGAGGAGAATAGGGAGGAGAATAGGGAGGAGAATAGGGAGGAGAATAGGGAGGAGAATAGGGAGAAGAATAGGGAGGAGGATAGGGAGGAGGATAGGGAGGAGAATAGGGGGGAGAATAGGGAGGAGAATAGGGAGGAGAATAGGGAGGAGAATAGGGAGGAGAATAGGGAGGAGAATAGGGAGGAGAATAGGGAGGAGAATAGGGAGGAGAATAGGGAGGAGAATAGGGAGGAGAATAGGGAGGAGAATAGGGAGGAGAATAGGGAGAAGAATAGGGAGAAGAATAGGGAGGAGAATAGGGAGGAGAATAGGGAGGAGAATAGGGAGGAGGATAGGGAGGAGAATAGGGAGGAGAATAGGGAGGAGAATAGGGAGGAGAATAGGGAGGAGAATAGGGAGGAGAATAGGGAGAAGAATAGGGAGGAGGATAGGGAGGAGGATAGGGAGGAGAATAGGGAGGAGAATAGGGAGGAGAATAGGGAGGAGAATAGGGAGGAGAATAGGGAGGAGAATAGGGAGGAGAATAGGGAGGAGAATAGGGAGGAGAATAGGGAGGAGAATAGGGAGGAGAATAGGGAGGAGAATAGGGAGGAGAATAGGGAGGAGAATAGGGAGGAGAATAGGGAGGAGAATAGGGAGGAGAATAGGGAGGAGAATAGGGAGGAGGATAGGGAGGAGGATAGGGAGGAGGATAGGGAGGAGGATAGGGAGGAGAATAGGGAGGAGAATAGGGAGGAGAATAGGGAGGAGAATAGGGAGGAGAATAGGGAGGAGAATAGGGAGGAGAATAGGGAGGAGAATAGGGAGGAGAATAGGGAGGAGAATAGGGAGGAGAATAGGGAGGAGAATAGGGAGGAGAATAGGGAGGAGGATAGGGAGGAGGATAGGGAGGAGAATAGGGAGGAGAATAGGGAGGAGAATAGGGAGGAGAATAGGGAGGAGAATAGGGAGGAGAATAGGGAGGAGAATAGGGAGGAGAATAGGGAGGAGAATAGGGAGGAGAATAGGGAGGAGAATAGGGAGGAGAATAGGGAGGAGAATAGGGAGGAGAATAGGGAGGAGAATAGGGAGGAGAATAGGGAGGAGAATAGGGAGGAGAATAGGGAGGAGAATAGGGAGGAGAATAGGGAGGAGAATAGGGAGGAGAATAGGGAGGAGGATAGGGAGGAGAATAGGGAGGAGAATAGGGAGGAGAATAGGGAGGAGAATAGGGAGGAGAATAGGGAGGAGAATAGGGAGGAGAATAGGGAGGAGAATAGGGAGGAGAATAGGGAGGAGAATAGGGAGAAGAATAGGGAGGAGGATAGGGAGGAGGATAGGGAGGAGGATAGGGAGGAGAATAGGGAGGAGAATAGGGAGGAGAATAGGGAGGAGAATAGGGAGGAGAATAGGGAGGAGAATAGGGAGGAGAATAGGGAGGAGAATAGGGAGGAGAATAGGGAGGAGAATAGGGAGGAGAATAGGGAGGAGGATAGGGAGGAGGATAGGGAGGAGGATAGGGAGGAGAATAGGGAGGAGAATAGGGAGGAGAATAGGGAGGAGAATAGGGAGGAGAATAGGGAGGAGAATAGGGAGGAGAATAGGGAGGAGAATAGGGAGGAGAATAGGGAGGAGAATAGGGAGGAGGATAGGGAGGAGGATAGGGAGGAGGATAGGGAGGAGGATAGGGAGGAGGATAGGGAGGAGGATAGGGAGGAGGATAGGGAGGAGGATAGGGAGGAGAATAGGGAGGAGAATAGGGAGGAGAATAGGGAGGAGAATAGGGAGGAGAATAGGGAGGAGAATAGGGAGGAGAATAGGGAGAAGGATAGGGAGGAGGATAGGGAGGAGGATAGGGAGGAGGATAGGGAGGAGAATAGGGAGGAGGATAGGGAGGAGAATAGGGAGGAGAATAGGGAGGAGAATAGGGAGGAGAATAGGGAGGAGAATAGGGAGGAGAATAGGGAGGAGAATAGGGAGGAGAATAGGGAGGAGAATAGGGAGGAGAATAGGGAGGAGAATAGGGAGGAGAATAGGGAGGAGAATAGGGAGGAGAATAGGGAGGAGAATAGGGAGAAGAATAGGGAGGAGGATAGGGAGGAGGATAGGGAGGAGGATAGGGAGGAGGATAGGGAGGAGAATAGGGAGGAGAATAGGGAGGAGAATAGGGAGGAGAATAGGGAGGAGAATAGGGAGGAGAATAGGGAGGAGAATAGGGAGGAGAATAGGGAGGAGAATAGGGAGGAGAATAGGGAGGAGAATAGGGAGGAGAATAAGGAGGAGAATAGGGAGAAGGATAGGGAGGAGGATAGGGAGGAGAATAGGGAGGAGAATAGGGAGGAGAATAGGGAGGAGAATAGGGAGGAGAATAGGGAGGAGAATAGGGAGGAGAATAGGGAGGAGAATAGGGAGGAGAATAGGGAGGAGAATAGGGAGGAGAATAGGGAGAAGAATAGGGAGGAGGATAGGGAGGAGGATAGGGAGGAGAATAGGGAGGAGAATAGGGAGGAGAATAGGGAGGAGAATAGGGAGGAGAATAGGGAGGAGAATAGGGAGGAGAATAGGGAGGAGAATAGGGAGGAGAATAGGGAGGAGAATAGGGAGGAGAATAGGGAGGAGGATAGGGAGGAGGATAGGGAGGAGAATAGGGAGGAGAATAGGGAGGAGAATAGGGAGGAGAATAGGGAGGAGAATAGGGAGGAGAATAGGGAGGAGAATAGGGAGGAGAATAGGGAGGAGAATAGGGAGGAGAATAGGGAGGAGAATAGGGAGGAGAATAGGGAGGAGAATAGGGAGAAGAATAGGGAGGAGGATAGGGAGGAGGATAGGGAGGAGAAAACGGAGGAGAAGAGGGCGATGGAGGCAGCAGAGAGGGGGTTAGCCGGGGCAGGTGCTTCTCGGAATGTGCAGGTGGCATGTGGAGTGATGGGCGCGAGTAGGGCAGTGCCGTCAGCTGCACAGGCGAGCGTACGAGATGCGGCAGACGTGCGGGCAAGCAGGGCAGAGGGGGCAAGCGGGGCAGGGAGGCCACTTGCATGCTTACTGCCAAACGCTTTGCTGGGTGCTGCTGCAACGGTGGAGGGGCGGGGGGTGGATGGGAGGGAGGCGGGAAAGGAGGATGAGTGGAGGGCGGAGGCAGGGGAGGTGCAGATAGGGGAGCGGCCTCTGCTGGCGCTGCTGATGGCCATGGCTGTCCGGCAACGACCCCAGGTACCGTGGCATGGCATGGCAGGGCGGGGGGTGGCAGGGCGGGGGATGGCAGGGCGGGGGATGGCAGGGCGGGGGGTGGCAGGGCGGGGGATGGCAGGGCGGGGGATGGCAGGGCGGGGGATGGCAGGGCGGGGGATGGCAGGGCGGGGGATGGCAGGCTGGGGAATGGTAGGGTGGGGAATGGGTGGGTAGTAGACGGTAGGGTGGGTGATAAGAGAGTGGGCAATGGAAGGGCAGGAAATCGAGGGTGCCTCTGCGGCGTGTGGGAGGCATTTCAGGATGACAAATACCGGTAATCACCCACGTATGTCGCTCTGCATCTGTGGTCCATCAAATGCGTCCCTGGATGACAAATAAGCTCCCCTGTGCTCCTCTCTCCCTGTGCTTCACTCCCCCTGTGCTGTCTGTCTACCCGCGGATGGTTCACCTCCAGCCAGCCACTGACTCCTCGCTCCGTGCACCACAGAACGGGCGGCAGTGGACAGTTGTGCAAGTCTCTGGAGTTGACCCTTTGCTGGAAGCCCACCGCTCCCTCAGCTTGTTGCAGCAAAAACTCGGTAGAGCTTGACAATGTCAACACTGCCCATTAAATAAAAACATATCGCGCGTCAAAAGAGCTGGTAGCGCTGGCAAACTACCGGTAGTCTTATTGATGCCCCTGGGCTCGACAACTGGTTGGGTAAATTGGTTTCACGAACGTAGGCATGACACTTTCAATAGGAAGAATTGTTGGTTCCTAACTACTATGGCAGCATGGTGAACCATTCAGCACCTCCGTATCCACTAAAGGCGCCTCACAATCCTTGCTCCAATACAATACAATATCCCTCAGTGCCCGAAACACCCCACCACCCATGTCAAATCATCCTCCTGAATACCCCTTCCGCCTCCACTCCTCCTCCTTGCCCCTCCAGACCCTCTTTGTCCTCCTCCCTCTCCTTGCTCTCCTCGCCATCACCACGCGGGCTTCTGAGCGGAGAGCATGATGTACTGCGAGCGGATGTCGCTCGTGTAGCTCGCCAGCCCCGCCAGCCCCATGAGCTCCTCCAGCTCCTCCGCCTCCCAGTACCGGAACGGCAGCTGCTGGCCCACCGATAGTTGCTGGCAGGGCGGGGAGGAGGGAGAGGGAAAGGGGAAGGGGTGGGGTATGGCAAGGGAAGGGAGACATGTAGGGGATGTTGAGTGGGTGTGTAGTTGTCCCAGACGCAGCGGTTGTATTTGTTTCCCTCTTGTTTCTGAGGAGAAGCTTTAGGGTGACCCCAGGAGGATTGCCAGATGAGCAGCAGTTACTGCACAATAACAGTCGGCAGTGGGGGATGGTGGGTAAGTATAGGGGATGACTGATGCGAGTGGTTGTAAGGACCAACGAGAGACCTCCGAAACGGGAAGGGGACTGGGTGTCGTAGAGTCAGGGGAGGCTGGCGCTGCTGCGAGGACATGGCATGCGTGTGTGTGTGCATGTGGGAACATGTTGTGCGTGTACGGGAGCGTGCAGACATGCATGCATGCAGGCATGGCGCCACCATCCCAGTGGCAGCAGCGCAGCAGCCCAGCAGAGCAGCGCGCTACCTTGCGCAGGGGCTTGAAGAGCTCGTCGGCGATGGGCGCCTTGGGCAGCAGAAACGTGGTGGCCACAAACCTGCCCCCCGGCCTCAACACACGGCTGATCTCCGCCATCTGTGCACACACACACACACACATGCAGGGAGGGGGACAGCGCCAGGGGAGGCATGGCATGATGGCATCACGGAGGCTCAACGCTGTGTAGCGGAAGGGAAAACGTGTCGAGGAAGGGTTGTGTCGAGGCCGGGTGAGGCAAGGAGAGAAGGGACGTGGGGGTTGTTGAAGGTAAGGAACATGGACGAAAAAGTGGGGGGTTCAACGGGAGGAAGGGCTCGGTGCATGCAAGAGGTTAGCATGAGAGAGGACTCACCGCGAGGGAGGGCGAGGGCCAGCAGTGCAGGGCGGCGCCGGCATGAATGGCGTCCACTGAGGCCGATGGGAAGGGCAGACGCGATACATCCACTCTTAGCAGCGATATGGCGCTGGTGATGGGGAGGGAGGGTTGTGGAGAGAGTCAGAGGGAGATGGAGAGAGAGCAGGGAGGCGGGCGGGAGAGGGAGTGGGTGTGACATAACGGATCTGTATGTGCGTTGTGGCTGTTGATGGAGCATGGAGGGCATTGTTGTGACTGCGCCATACTACTGCAGCCATGACATGATACGCATCAATAACGTCTCACGCCACCACCTCTATGCCACCTCTGGCCTCCTCGCTCTTATCTCCTCTCTTTCCCCCACCCTCTCCCTTCTTCTCGCCCTCCATCTCCTCCTCGCCCACCGCGCTCACCTCTGCTGCTCCCGCAGCAGCGGGTCATCTCGAATGTACTGCGCCGTTTGCTCCAGCATGGCGGGCGACAGGTCAGCAGCCGCCACGTGGCGCCAGTCCTGGCTGGCAGCGAAGCGGCGGGTGAAGAGGCCCGAACCACACGAGAGGTCCACGAGCAGCCCGCCCTTCTGCTCGTGGAACAGCCGCTGCGCCATCAGGAACTGCCGGGGGGGAGAGGGGGGAAGTTTGCAATGATGCAAGCAGTTGCATTAGTGCTCCTGCCTCCCCACAACCCCCCACCAACGCCTCTCCATCCCTGCACCTGCATCCCCCAACCTCTCCCCAACGAAACCTCCTCCCTTTCTCCCACTTCCCCTGCCCCCTCCCCCACTCCTCCCCTCCCCTCCCTCCACCCCACATCCTCAACAGCACGCAGCCCTCGTGTGGCCCCACTCATGCTCGTCTCCTCCCCTCCCCCCATGGACGGACCTCCTCATCAGGCCCCGGGAAGCCAAAGCCAGCGAAGCTCTGCCTCCACCCGCGCTCATACGCGAAGGACACCAGGGGGTTCCTGGAAGGACGGGGAGGATGACAATGGTGATGGTGATGGTGATGGTGAAGGATGGTGGGCAAGGGATGGAGGGAGTGACAAGACAAGGTGAGTGTGAGGCAGTGGGCATGGAGTTGCGAGTGACCGTCCCCACAATCTATCACCCCACTGTTTCACCCCACTGCTTCACCCCACTCGCTCACCCCACCCTTTCACCCGTCGTCTCCTCTCCCTGCAACCTCCCACCGGCGCTCACTTGAAGGTCTCGGAGCGCGAGGGCAGAGGCGGCTCGATGTACTGAGTGACCCCCGCAGTGAGCACTAGGTCCGCGAATCCCGCTCGCGCTGTGTACGTGCGCCGGCATGGCTCGCACTGCAGCCGCGCCGATGGCGCTGACTGCCTGGGGGGGGTGAGGGAGGGGGAGAGGGGATTGGAAGGGGGAAGGGGGGAAAGGGGGGAGGGGGGGTTGAAAAGGGGAAGGGGAAGGGGGGGTGCGGAGGAACGGTGGATGGTGGGGAAGAGAGTGTGGGGTAAGCAGAGGCGAGAGGTAGTAGGGTTGGTGGTGCAGCAGAGCGTGCGTGAGGAAGAGACCGCGGGGGTGATGATGAGGGGTGACGAGGGAGGGAGCAGGGAAACAGGGTTTGCAGCTTCAACAGGGTCTGTGTGGCAGGAAGGCAGCGAGCAGCGAGCAGCGAGCAGCGAGCAGAGAGCAGAGAGAAGAGAGCAGAGAGCAGAGAGAAGAGAGCAGCGAGCAGCACGCACATGGAGAAGGAGCGCTGCTTGCTCCGGAACGACACATCCAGAGGCCGCAGACACACAGGACACGCCAGCCGAGGGCCCCCCTGCTTCTCCGCGCCTTGCCCCTCCACCGCCTCTCCCCTCGCCTCCTCGCTGCCTGCCTGTACCGCGGCTATCACTGTCGCGCCGGCTACCACATCCGCGCCTTCCTCCCTCACCGCACCTGTATCGCCGCTTAACGCGTCGCCCTGTAACGAATCCGCCGCGCAACGCACTGCGCGGCTCGGCTTGCGGCGCGAAGCTATCGATAGCTTCGCTGAGCGTAGTGAGTTTTGTAGCTGCGGCTGCCTGTTGTCGAGTGCAGCTGAACTACTCAGATGACAACCCGCGGCGCGGTGCCGGCGCGACACGGCTTGGCCGCGCTCCGTCAGCTTAACTAGCGAAGCGCGCTGCTCGAAGCGTGGACGCGGCCTCGTGTTGCCGACACGGTGTTGACATGGCAGGTCGAGAGCGGCAAGCACGGATGTGTAGGTTTGAGAATGCGGCGTGACTGACATGGCCAACGGCAGGCTCATCGTTGACGGATTGACAACCTGGCCGGTCTAAGAGGTGCTGGAGTTTGCCGGACAGCTCGAAGGATCGCCCGATCGTCGGATCAGAAGGCCCGTCTAGTGGAATAATGCTTGCTTCCTGGTGCTCGGTGTCTATTATGCGAGTGTGTTGTGTGGAAGTGATGGTGGAGTTTGAACGGAGAGAGGGAGAATGTGCAGGATGGCGTGGCAGCAGCACCAAGCGCCAACTAGGGCATTCCCAAGGGTGCTAGTAGGACGCGCCACGTTTTCAAATTGCGGAGCGACTAAACGACGCTCCAGTTGGGGAACAAGCCTGATACAACAGACCTAACATAAGGTTAAACTTTCCACATCTCACAGACGATCCATTCTTTTCTCAAGACGCTGAAAGCATCCTATTCCTGCAAAAACCAATTATTTGCACAGTATTTTTAAAATTTCAAATCTTACAATTCAAGCCATATGATGTCTCATTTCATTACCAGATCTCTTGAATAAAATGGGTTAGTAAGTTCATGAAGGGTAAATGACGTTTGTCAGAGATATTTTGAGTAATGCGTAAGTAATACTTTGGCAAGGAGAAATATCAAGTGATTATTGTAACGATATCTCTACACGATGCCAGAAGCTCATATCGGCTGTATGAGGTCAGCGGTAGCTGCACCCAAGGATGAATGCCAGTGGAAGAATGACGTGTGTTTTGCCACGCAGCCAGCTGTATGAGTGAGCGCGCCGATGGGGCTAGATTTGCATGGCTGCAGGGTACCTGACACTCACCATTCGCACTGCCGCTCCCTCAGATCCGCGTCATTCCAGCGTAATTGCCGCCGTCGCTGTGACAGCATGGGGCTCACCGTCTCCATCCCCCACACACAACGCACCACAGAATCCGCATTCCCACCATCCATTCGCGAAGAACTACTGCGAAATGGACGAAGCGTGAGGGCACATAGATGTCGTGCAGTATTGGCGAATGCGTAAGCTCACGTTATCAGGTTACGACGAACCCAGAGTAAGCAAGACCCGACAGCCCACTGTTGCCTCGCGCAAACCCTTGCACAAAGTTCTTCCCCTCTAGTCCACTTCAGTCCTTCCACCAGATCTGTCCATAGTCTACCCTCCCCCACTTACCTTCCGTTCCGTGCATCCCTCCTACAACCAACACTACTTATCTTACGGCCCTCAGTTACTCTCATTATTTTTTTCGCAATCATGGCGTTCATAACGCAAGGCTTCGCGGGCTGTAGGCGTTAGGCGAGGGGATGCATTCAGCAGAGAATTGCTGTCTTACGGCCTGTTGCCGTAGACGGAATGTGCGCGCTGGCCGCGACGATGGCTGGCTTGGCTGCAATGGAGGCAGTCGCCACGCTGTGAGGAACAATCGCCGAGGCATCCGGTGGCGTGCACGCGACGAATGCTGGTACGAGCACGGTCTCGGCTTATGGGCATGGCCGTCAGATCGCGGAAGTATTGGCAGCTTTTGCACCTCGTATTAGGGTTTCCATGCCCCCGTCACGATCATGACTCGCGCATGGTCATATGTGCGATGAAATTAATAAGTCGCTCGCGTGGTATGATCCACTTTCCAAGTAATGGCTTTTTTTTCTTCTTCTGGGGTTTAATTTGCGCGTTTCCTCTCTCTTCACTACCCCATTTCACGCCTTAGGCTATCGGCCTGCGATCGTCATCGCCGGGTGCTCATTGCAAGATTCAGCAACAGACACGAGAAAATCAGTCGCGCAAAGCCAGAGGCAGACGCTGCTCACGGCTCATCAGGAGTTTCAGGTATCCTGTTATCTGTAGCATCGCGGGCATCAACAGCAACACGAGCGGGAACGCACAAAAGTTATCGCAACCAAGTTCCGTGTTTCCAGCGGCCGTATCCTCTGAGTGTGATCAAATCCTTGTCACTGGCTCGTCTAGACCGGCGTTCCGAATCTGCTAATCTCCATCAACGCCTCTTGTCGATCCTAGCCAAACTATCTGGCAGCCTAACGCGTGCGGCTGAGCCGGTGACCTCCTCTTGTACTGTCCACTTCCTCGAGAATCTTCAGGTTTAATAGCGTGTTCGCCTCGAGCATCGTGCCGCGTTAAACAGGCGGCGCACGCACGGGCTCGTGAGCGACCGTGCTGACGGTGGCGACAGGAGAGAGGGAAGAGACGGCAAGAGCAACGGCAGGTACGGGGGACCCAAGCGAGAGCGGTCGAGGCGGGATGCCGCGGTCAGTGGGCTTCGGGGGCTTCGGCGGGGGAGTGATTGTTCCCGCCATGGACGTGCGCCAACGCGCATCGCCCAAGATTCCGCCACTGTCGTCGGACGAAGATCTGCCGCCGCCTCCGCCGCCGCCCACGCCCGCGACCACTGCGCCCCCCGCGGCTTCCTTCCCTGCGCCATCGCTGCCCTCCCGCCGCTCTTCTTTGTCTGACGCAATGGGGAAAGCATCCGCGGCAGCGGCAAGTGCGGGGAGGAGGGATGCGGCGATGGGAACAGGGAGGGACACGGGAGGGATCACGGCAACGACTATCAGCGGTTTCGTCGTGCCGGCAGCAGCACCCGCAGCAGCAGCGGCGGAAACAGGAGCGGCATTGGATATGAACCACCCGCCTCCCCCGCCGCCGCCCACGCCAGCGGCACAAGCAAGGCGATCGTTCACCACCACCCGTGGGTTCGCTGTTCCTGACTCTCGTGTTGTCGCTGGTGCCAGTTCCGCTGCTGCGGGCCGTGGTGATTGGCCAGTTACATCTACTGCCGCGGCGTCGTCCAGCTCTCGAGTTGTCACACCCGCTGCTGTCACTGCCGCCGTGGCAGCCTCGGCTCGAGACACGTGGTTCCTCCCTTCCGCTGCCGCGGCGGCTGCAGCCGCCGCCACGGCTGCTGCGGCGGCGGCAGCAGCGTCAGCCGCTGCTGGCCCTGGCGCAGCGGCAGCGGAGGAAGACGAGGCGGGGATGGCGAGAGTGGTGGGGTTTTCCGGTAGGTCCAGCGGTAGCTTTCGGTTGGACAGATCCTCAAGTCGAGAGAGTGGCGGGGCTGTCGCCGCCGGTCTAGCCGCACTGGTATCGGAGTCGTTAGGTGGTCGCCCGGAATTCGACTCGATGGGAGTGGGGTCGCACGTGTTCGCGCAACTAAATGAGGAGGAGGATGATTTGGAGAAAGCGGAAGGGGGAGCGGAAGCAGACGCGGAGGAGGATGGAACGCAGGCAGTGGGGGCGGAGGATGACGGGTATGAGGAGGCGGAGGAGGATGAGGTGCGGGGGAAGGAGCTGAAGGTCTGTTTCCCGACGTCAGCGCCTAAGATCTCGTTCGGGCTCGGGTGGAACTTCTGCCGCCTCAACACGCGCGGCGGCACCGTGTCGCGCAGCAGCAAGGCGGACGCAGCGGCGGCTGCGGGCGGCGTAGTGGCGGGCAGCCTGGGCAGCAGCATGGGGAGCTATTTCTCCCGCACGGGCAGCAGCCCCTGCTTCCCCTTCCTCCACACGTCCTCCCCCACCACTCTCCCGCCGCTCCCCTCCATTTATACCTCCTCACACTCGCTTAAGTCCGCCGCAGCCGCCGTCGTCGCCGCCGGAAGGGCCGCGTCAGCGCCGTCGCTTGCGTCTGCCGCAGCTACCGCATCCCCTGCCGCTGCGTCTCTCGGGCCTTCCGCGTCTGCCTTGGGTGGGTTCCCTTCCGCGGCGAGCGTTGGTGTGCTGGCATCCAGCCTGCCTTCCAGGTTCAGCTCTGGGTTCCCCAACCCACCTGCGGCAGCCGCGGCCGTGCCGGGGAATGACGCGGCCCGTGTCGATTCTGTTGCGGTGACGCAGGCGGTTCCGTCGCACCCCGTCCTGCCGAGTGCCTCGCCGTTACTTCCGCGTGCGAGCGTGCATCTGAGCAAGGAGGTGCGAGGTGCGGAGCAGCAGTGGCAGGGCGAGACGGATGGCCTTGTATGGGGCCGCAGCAAGCTGAGCAGGGTGGCGGAGGCGGCAGCGAGCGACGCTACAGACCCGGCTGTAGCAGGAGAGGCAACGGACTTGCTGCTGGAGGAGAAGGAAGAAGTATTTTCAGTGTCAGTATCTGTAGCAGAAATCACGAAAGAGACGGTGGTAGATGAGTTAGACGCAGAGATCGCCCTACCTGCGCAAGCAGCGGCTGAGGCAGAATGCGCGCCTGAAGCAGCAACGAGCATCGTGCCTGAGGAGCCATGCACCGTGCCTCAAGCTGTGCCTCTGGACTCGGTTGCAGAGCAGCAGTTCGTCTCCACTCTATCCGCGTTAGAAGACGTCTGGCTTGCGGAGAACGTGTCTCTCGGCCTCGCGTGGCCGCGCAGCCTCGTGTCTCCCGCTCCATATACTGACGGAGTCGCCTCGCCCGCGTCTGCCGCCTGCGTTGCGACTACCGCCGCGGTGCCTCCCCCCGTGCTGCATCTCGTGGGCGCAGTGCAGGACGGGTTGCGCGCGGGCGCGCAGCCCGTGCGCGCGTCGGGGGGGCTGGGCGGAGCATACATCTTCCGCGACTCGGCGCAGCGCAACGTGGCGATCGTGAAACCCACGGACGAGGAGCCGCTCGCGCCCAACAACCCCAACGGCTACGTGGGGCGCGCGCTGGGGCAGCCGGGGCTGAAGCGCAGCATCCGCGTGGGGGAGGCGGGGCTGCGCGAGGTCGCGGCGTTTTTGCTGGACCACGGGGGGTTCGCGGGGGTGCCCGCGACCGCGCTCGTACTCGCCACGCACCCCGCGTTTCACGTGAACGCGGCTCCCGCAGGGCCCACGATGACGCCGCGCGCGTCGGGGAATGCGGGCGGGCTGTCCAGCGCGTTTTCGTTCGGCGTTGGCGCGAGTGGCGCGACGGCGTCTGCCGCTGTGGCGGGCGCGCGGGGCGCAGGAGTGGGAGGGGGAGGGGAATGGGGGGATGGCGGAAGCGGCGGGAATGGGGGCCGTCGATTGTGCTCGTTGCAGCGGTTTGAGCCGCACGATTTCGATGCTAGCGAGCATGGGACGTCCCGGTTCCCAGTGGCGGCTGTTCACCGTATAGGCATCCTCGATATCCGCATGTTCAACACGGATCGACACTCTGGTGCGTGCTTGCCTCGTGCCTCACCCTCCCCATGCATAGACACTGCCTGTTTTCTCAACCTTTTGAAACTGCCTTCGCTTCTGCATAAAGCCCTCGTCTCCATCCGCCTCTCTTCCTGGTGCTGCATATTCCTCCTCACAAGTTCCCATGCCCCTCTCCTTTCGCTCTCCCCCCCTCCCCCCACAACCTTTTTCCCCAACTCTTCACACAAACCCCACACCCTCCTCTCCCTCCCCCGCTCCCCCCTCCCCTCCCACTCTCCCGCTTCCTCCATCCCCATTCCCCGCCCCCGTTCCCCGTTCTCCGCCCGCCGTCCCCCCCGTTCCCCGCCCCAGGCAACATACTGGTGCGGCAGCTGAGCGTGGAGGAGCGCGAGTGGCGGCAGAGCGACCCGCAGCTGCGAGTGGACGAGGCGGTGCACCTGGTGCCCATCGACCACGGCTTCTGCCTCCCCGAATCCCTCGAACCCGCCTACTTCGAATGGCTGCACTGGCCCCAGGTGCGCGCAAGCGGGGGGGGGGGGGGGGGGGCTGGGGAGGGGGGAGAGGGCAGGGGGAAGGACGGGATGCGTGGGATGGGTTTGGGAGGGGAGGGCTTGGGGGTTTTGCTGTGTGAGGGATTGGGAGGTGACGTGTTTGGGGGGTGATGCGGATGACACCTCTTGTGTTTCCACTGCATCACTCTAGTCACGCCCCCATGGCTGTGTTTCTCCTGCTGCATGCCCGCATGCCCCCCTTCTCGCGCCGGCACTGCATACTTCCATAGCAACGCTTTTTTCTCCCTTCCAAACCCCCCTCTCCCCTCTCCCTTCTTTCTTTTCCCGTTCCCCTCCCCTTCTTCCTCCCGTCAAGCCCTCCCACCTCTCTCCTCACGCCTTCTCCTTCCCAACAACCCCCCCGCACCCAACCCCCCCCCTCCCCCCCCCCCCCCCTTCCCCCGCTCCTCCCGTTCCCTTCCCCTCCCGCCCCGCCTTTCCCCCGCGCGCGCAGGCGTCGCTGCCCTTCTCCCCTGAGGAGCTGGAGTACATAGCGGCGCTGGACGCGGAGCGGGACGTATCCCTCCTGCGCGCGCACCTCCCGCTGCTGCGCGAGGGGTGCCTGCGCGTGCTCGTGATCGCCACCACGCTGCTGCAGCGCGCCGCCGCCGCGGGCATGACGCTCGCGGGGATAGGCGCGATGATGAGCCGCGAGGTGCGCGGACTGGAGGAGCAGCCCAGCGATCTGGAGCAAGTGTGCGCGGAGGCGCTGGGGGAGATGAAGCGCGTGCGCAGGGCGCTGGGGGAAGCGGAGGGGGAGGGGGAAGGGGAGGGTGAAGGGTGGTGTAGGGAGAGCGCGGCGATGGGGGGCGAGGAGGGGGGTATTCAGGAAGAGGAGGGGGAGGGGGAGGATGACTTTTCGGAGAGTGAGGAAGAGGAGGGTATTTTTGGGGTTGATGGGTTTGGGGAGGAGGATGGAGAGATAGGTGCAGTGTTGGAAGGAGAGGAAGGGGAGGAAGGGGAGTGGTCTGATGAAGAAGCGGAGGAGGATGTGGAAGGGATGGGATGCAGGGACGCGAGCAGTGAGACAGGCAGGGAGGCAGAGCGGGACAGCAGTGCAGGTAATCCGGGAAAGGATGAGGGGGCGGAGGAGGTGGGTAGCTATGTGATCCCAGAATCGCTGTTGTGGAAGAAAGGTGCGAGGTGGGGTGATACAGACTCAGAGGACGAGGATGAGGAGGAGGAGGAGGCAGAAGAGGAGGGAGAGAACAAGGAAGCCGAGGGTGCAGGGGAGGATATTGGGGAAGGGTTTGCGGATGTCCACGTGGGCGTGGAAGCAGGGGGGTTTGCGGGTATAGGCGACAGTGTGAGTGGTTACGAGCAGAGTGACTCCGTGACAGCAGGAGAGGAGCAGTTTGAGTTTGACGAGGAGGCTGAGGTGGCGAGTGCAGGGTATCAGCACCACGGGCAGCGAGACCTGAAGCACCAGCAGCAGCAGCCTGGCCAATACCCCTTCACTACCTCCGCCTCTCGCTCTCCCAGCAGCGGCAGCACTGAGAGCAACGACTGCGGAGACAGCACCACGAGCAGCAGCAACGGCGCTGGTCTGGGCATGGGCAGGCGAGAGCATGGCAGCGAGGCGGATGACTTCCCCCCAGTGGGCCTGGGCTCTATGAGCTCCTCCCCTCCGTCCTCCCTTGCCTCCCCGCCCCTTTCTGCCCTTGCACCTGCACCCACTGCTGCACCAGACCTGGATCCTTCTCCTGCCGCCCATGTGCTCGCTGCTCGCGACTGCTCTCATGCATCTGCCGCAGTGGTGCATGCTAGTGGGGGCAGTGAGCCGTCTGCATTCCTGCCTGAGCTGTCGTGCTCCCCCGTGCCTGCATCAGCCCAGCCTGTCCCTGTGCCCGCCGTGGCCCATCACTTCATTGCCAAATCCACCCGCCTGGGCTCCTCCTACGCCCCTCCTCCCCGCCACCTCGCCCGTCCTCTCTTCCGCAAGCCCATGGCCGCAGTGCCTCCCCGCATGCCCATGGCCGCACTGCCTCCCCGCATGCCTGCTCAACCCCCACATGGTGCAGCACTTGGTGTGCCTGCTGCTGCTCCTCTCCACACTGGTTTCAGTGGGGGCGTGGGTGCACCTGGGGCAAGGAGCAGTGGTCTGAGTGGTGCTGCTGGCAGCAACGGCGGCAGCGGATCGAACTTAAGAAGGGCAGTTGGGCGTTCCAACCTGGGCAGCAGCAGTGTTGGCGTTAGGGGAGAGGGAGGTGAGGATGTGAGTGGTGAAGGTACAGCAGGTGGTGGGGTTAACCCTGGGAGGCAGCAGAGGCACAGCTCGAAGCAGAGGCGCAGCAGCGGACATTCCAAGGGCGGAAAGCAGCAGCGGGGACAGGCACAGGGGGGAGTGGCACGGGATCCGCGTGGGAGTGCGACGGGGGATGAGCTGAGCGCACAGTTGATGGAGCTGGGGGAGTTGGGTGTACGGTCATGGAATCTGTACATGGAGGTGCTGCTGGTGCTGCTCGATGATCTCATTCTCAGGAGGAGTGGAGAGTCTGTTTCCAACCGCCTGCACTTTGGAACTTCGTGCCAGTTTTAGAGGGTTTGGCTTCCTGCCATGGTGTCCGTCCGTGTGACTTTTGCATGGTTGTGTGCTGTTGATGCCAACCATGTTGCTTGTTGCGTTATCCTGTCCTGTTCGTGTGTGCTGGCCAAACTCTGCTTTGTACAGTTTGTCATGCTAAGCTTGTTGCTTGACTGGTCCATGCATGTGATGTTTGATGATTTGTGTAGGTGACGGTATGTGGATAGGATGGTCAAGAATTTGAGTTTCCAGCCTCTTCTAATCCATTGCTTGTTCATTTACGGTATAAGATATTGACTATCTTGCCTTCCAGGAAAGCCTCTGGAAGTGTTTTGAGGAAACATGATTGTTACACTGTAGAAGTGATTTTGCAATTGACAACTCGTGTATCGCGTTCCCATCCCAGCAACAGAGCACAGCTGGCCTCTATCCGACCTTGCCCCGCCACACTTGCGCAGGTTGCTCTGCGCATTCCATCCACCTGCGATTCTACCGCGGTTTGCGGCACCACACCTTGAGCATATTCTATAGTTGCCCGAGCCATCAGCTCGTCCAATCAGGAAACGTTGCCTAACATCCACATCCCTCCACGGTATTCTCACACCAATTGTTATCACGCACCCGCCATACCACAGAATTCGTATCAGAACATTTCCCCACCCCGTGGGGTGCTGCTGTGGGTGGGAGACTTGAACCAGAAACCTGTCCTGAAGTCTCTCAATCGCTACCTGGCCAATATAGTTGCCCGTATTTAGCATCACTTAACGGGTATGTTTCTGATAACCCTAAAAGTCAACCTGATTGGACAAGTGCATCCCGTCTCGTGAACAGAACTCGTCGGCCATCGTTTGACTTCTCTGAGTGCGTCTTGCCCTTCTCCTCCTCACCCTGATCGCATCACCCCCCTTCACCCACCCCCCCCCACCTCCCTTCTCCCCGGCACCTCAAAGCCTCTTCCCACACACCTATCTCATTCCCTCCCAAGACTTGGGTGGACAAATGAGAATCAAAATAGGAGGAAGGAGCAGTGCGGCATTGCATTGCAAGGGCGCTACAACAAGGCACATTCTTCCCAAGGTCCAATCCAAGTAGTCCTCAATTGCCTCTTTTCTTCATTCAGATCTGCACACGACCGCTTCTATCTGGCACCTGCCTCGTGTGCCGTTTAGCACGGATCGTTCACCAACGCCGCCTTCTCACTATACCGGCCAGTGACGTCAGGTCTCGAACTACCAACGGTGACGTGCGACATTAATTGCCGCTTCGAAACGCTTTCCGCCGTCCCTCGGATTCGCAGGCGTGTCGCTGGGTCATCCATCCCGTGCGCTCACCGCTTTTCTTCTTCGTGCGGAGAACCCCCCTACGCGGCGTCGCCATGGCCGAGGTCAGCATGCCCCACTAAGTCCTACCACATTCCCGGCTTAATTTCCCCCGTTTTTTTTTCGTCTTTATTTATTTTCTCGTGCGAAACATGCATCTCATGATCTCACGAGCGTAGTTGCTGTGAGCGTCGGCTGGTGCTCACTCGTTGGACTCATGTGTCACGCGAGTCTCATGAGTCCGAGGGCGGCGGTGCGCCTCTCGCTACTTTCTCGTTAATTTTCCTAGCCAGATTCCCACATATGCTTTCCCGCGTCACGCCCATGATTCGCACATACATTCACTCACTCACGCGAGCGTGCGCTCTAGATCTCGTACATTCGGTCCTCTCGTGTCTCGTGCGGATGGTGAAGTGCGAGCACTGTCATGAGTACCCGCATCTCCGCATCTCCGCATCCCCGCATCTCCGCGTCTCCGCATCTCCGCGTCTCCGCATCTTTTATCAGTGTTCCCCTTGCTCTTGATCTCTGCGGCACTCCTTGTGCCTCCCCCCTCCGCAGCACAACCCCTACGATTCCGGCAATCCCGACGGCCCGCCTCCCCCATACGGCGGTCACCCCTACGCTGCGCCCGGCTACGGCGCGCCTCCGTCCGGGTATGGCGCTCCGCCTCCGCCCGGCTATGGCGCTCCCCCTCCCGGCTACGGCGCCCCGCCGCCCGGGTACGGCGCGCCCCCGCCTGGTTACGGGGCGCCCCCCCCTTCCGCCATAGTGCCCGCGGGGGCGTACTCCATGGGGTACCCGCCCGCCCCTCCCGGCCCCGATGGTGCTCCCCCCAAGGTGCGGACAGAGGATGGGCACGGAGATTGCGGGGACGGGAGGGACGAGGGGGGCGGAGGAGAGGGGAGAGGCAGGAAGGGGTAGCGCGAGAGGCAAAGTCATGGTTCTGGAAAATTATGATTCTTATTTGCATACGTCCGTGTGTGATAGTGTGTGTGTACGTGTGTGCGTCCGTGTGTGTGCATGCGTGTGTGCGTGTGTGCGTGCGTGCGTGCGTGCGTGCGCGTGCTTGCGTGCGTGCGTGCGTGCGTGCGTCTGTGTGCGTCTGTGTGTGCGTGCGTGCGACCATGTGCGACGGTGCGAGCAGGCGAGCGTGGCGGGCGACAAGTTCCTGTACGCGTCGTCCAAGTGGAACGACGTGTGGGCCGCCATTCTCTTCATCCGTACGTACCTCCATTGCGCCCGCATCACCACCTTTCCCGCCGCCAACCCGCCTTTGTGACGTGCCGCCACCCACCATAGCGCCAACCTGCCATAGCGCCACCGCCATACGGAACAACATGGGCTTAATTCTCAAGCCATGAGCTTCTCGCACCCACCGCACCTGCCACTGCAAACCGCTGCCTTCCACCTCATTTTGATCCCGCTTTCCCGCATCCCGCTACTTCCTCCCTTTTCCATCTCTCACCGCTCCCTTTCCCCGCTCTCCCCGCCTCTTTCTCCCCGCCCTCCCTCTGCGCCCCCCCCCACTCCCCCCCCCCCCTCCCCCCATGGCCCCTCTCGCCCCCATCTCTCCCACTCCTCCTTCCCCCCCTCTGCTTGGCGCGGTGCAGTGCAATTCCTGGCGGTGCTGGTGTTCTCGGTGGTGCTGGGCGTGAAGGGCGTGTCGTCCTCGTCCTCCTCACAGCAGCCAGCGCCGGGGCAGACCGTCTACTCCTTCTCCGACTATGCGCCGCAGTTCGCCGCTGCCGCCGCCACCGGGCTGGTCTTCGCACTCGTGTGGCTGCAGCTCATCAAACTCATGCCGCGGTATGCTGCAGCCCTCCCATGCGCCCTGCTCCTCCCATGCACTGCCCGAAAAACCACGCCGTGCACCTGACTCGAATTAGTGCCATGCCATACGCGCTGCTCTGCCTTGCTCCGCGCCCTGCTCTGCCTTGCTCCGCGCCCTGCTCTGCCCTGCTCTACGCCGTGCCTGAAACCACGCCATGCACCTGACTTGGATCACTCCCATGCCTTGCCTGGCCTTGCCGCGCTGCACCGGTATCAGAGTGATGCTGACACATCTGCAGCACATTGCGAGTCCAAGAGATTCGGGGATCCGGCACTCCCCATGCCTCTAAGCCATCCATCTCACGCTCACACCTCACCATCCCATCCCATCCTGCTCCCCCTCCCCCCCCACCCCTCACCCCCAACCCACCCCTCCCCGCCTGCCCGTTCCTCCCCTCCCCGTGTCCCGTATCCCGCCCCGCCGCTCATCCCCCTGGGCTGTGTGCGCTGCGCTGCAGCATGATGGTGCACATATCGCTGTGGTTTGGGTTTGTGGCGCCGGTGGCGGTGGCGATAGTGGTGTTCGTGTACCACACGGCGCCTGCGTGGGTGGGCGTGGTGCTGCTGCTCTCCTCGCTGCTGCAGCTGCTCTACATCTGGCTCGTGCGACACAGGTGTGCTGCACGCGTACATGCACGCATGCACGCACACATGCACTCGCACACCCACGCACTCACACACACTCAACACACCTACGCACACTCGGGTGCACGCAGCGCTTGCACTGCATTGCTCCCGTTGCTCTTTCTGCTCCTCTCTCTCAGTCACTCCATAACTCCCGCACATGCATGTTCCTTGGCGCACTCACACACACTCGCCAGCTCTCGCTGCCCCTCCAAATCAGCAGCACATCTGTTTGCTCATGCTGCCCAGGCAGGCCTAACCCATGTGTGACCGCCATGGTGCCTCCCTCCTCCTCCCCTTGCTGCGTGCAGGATCCCGTTTTCAGCGACGATTCTGAAGCACGCGGTGCACGTGGTGAACACGTTCCCGTCGGTCATCTGGGTGGCGTACCTCTTCCTCCTCCTCAGCCTCGTCTGGACTGTCATCTGGGTCGTGGGGGTCTCAGGCGCCATGTCGCTGGTGAGAGGCAGGCATGTCGCTGGTGAGGCATGTCGCTGGGTATGCCTCCATTGCGTCATCTGCTCTGCTTCCCCTTTCCACATCATGTCACCTTCGCACCGTATCGCACCTACCAACCCTCTCACTGCTGCTGCTTTCCCATCCCCTCCCCCACCCCGTGCGCTGTGCTGTGCTGTGCTGTGCTGTGCTGTGCTGTGTGTGTGTGTGTGGCTGGGCGGCAGACGAACGCGTTTGCGGTGCTCATCATCCTCGTGCTCAGCAACTACTGGACCATGGAGGTACGTACGCCGCCCCTCTCCTCCTTGCCACGCCATGCACTGCCCTCTTAACTCTGCATTTCTCACCCTGCCCTCGTCACTCTCTTCACTCTGTCCTCTCAACACTACTGCCAGCGCTACCTGGCATGCACTCTTCCCCACCTTCTCACCCTCTCACCAATCTCCCCCCTCTCCCCTTTCTCACCACTCTCCCTCCCTTCCCGCCCCTTCCCCATCCCCCATGACCCTTGTACCCTCACCATTCAATTCCGTTCCCCTGTACTCATCATCTCGTGTCCCTTCTCTCCTCAATGCCGCTCCACCTTTCCCTTCTCTCTCCCCTCTACCCCTGCTCACCCCACCCTCCGCCTCCTCCCTCCCTCCTCTTCCCCCTCTCACCCCACCTCCCCTCCTCGCAGGTGTTCCGCAACGTGGTGCACACGACAGTGGCGGGCACCACGGCCACCTACTACTTTCTGCGCCACAACATGCCACCCAACCCCACCGGCCTCGCGCTGCACCGCGCCGCCACCAAGAGCTTCGGCTCCATCTGCTTCGGCTCGCTGCTCGTTGCGCTCATCCAAACCCTGCGCTTCATTGTCCGTGCTGGGAAGAATGGGGGACGGGGACACTTGAAGGGGAGGGACAGACGAGGGGAAAGGGGGCCGCTTTGTGCTTGTGGCTGGGTGGGATGGGGTTGAAAGTGGGGTCCCGGGGAGGGAGATGTTTGGAAGGCAGGTTTCAGGAAGGCAGAGTTGGCAGCAGTTGGAATATTTATGGAGGTACATGTTGTCAGATCGTAAGTCTTCTTGTGCACTCTCTGACCTTTTTGCTTCCACCTTTCCCCTCTCCCACGCCTGTTCACCCAGGTGGCGGCGCTAGCGAACAACGACGACGGGGGCAACTTCATAGCGTGCTGTGCGCAGTGCATCCTGGCGTGCATTGAGGCCATCGTCGAGTTCTTCAACAAATACGCCTACATCCAGGTGCGTGCACACACAATGGACATACACAGTATTCACATGATCCCCATGTCTGCTGAATCACTGACTTGTGCATTTATAAATGCCTTTTCCGCCCCATTAATTCCCCCTGAATCCCCCACTTCCTTGCATCTCCATCACTTCTTCCTTCCCACAATCCTGCTTTGATTCCACTACTCTTTCCTCACAAACCTCACCGTACTCCATCTCTCCTTCCCAACCCATCCCACACGCCCCCTCCTCTCTCTATCCCCTCTTCCTCTCCCCGCCCCATCCCCCTCTCCACCCACCCCTCTCTCTCCCCATGCAGATCGCAATGTACGGCAAGACGTTCATCCGGGCGTCCAAGGACACGTGGGAGCTGTTCAAGGCGCGCGGGGTGGACGTGCTGATCAACGACGACCTGTCGGGTGGCGTGCTGGGGCTGGGCATGTTCATCGGGGGCGTCGTGGCCGCGCTCGTGGGCGGGCTGCTGTCGCTCAACAAGGCTGTGGAGCTGCTCGCGGCTGTTTCCATCGTCAGCTTCATTATTGGCCTCGTCCTCGTAGGTTCCCTTTCTTGTTGTGTTGTGCTCACTGGTGGTGTGGCTTGGGGCTTGCAAGTTGGTAAAAATAAATAAGGGATGGGAGGAAGGGTGGGGTGAGAGTGGGGAAGGGGTGGTGGAGGGGGTGAATGGGTGAGTGGGATGGCTCGTGTGTGCATGTGATGGGTTGGGCAGGTGGGTGGTTCTGGGTTCCGAGCAAAAGTGGCTGGTGGGGGGGAAGTACTGGGGCATGATCATAGGTGCATGTGCAAGGGGAGTTGTGTGTGGGTTGTGAAAAGGGGATCGCTGGCCCTGCTGTGTTGCCTGCGGTGCATCACTCGAGGCATTACGTTCGCCATCTTGCACATTGCTCGTTGCTCGTTGCTCGCTTCTCAGGGTAGTGCGCGGCCCGCTTTATTTTGTACCTCGATCCATTCTCCTCACCCCGCTTCGTTCCCTTTCGATTGCGTTCCCAAAAATCTCCAAAAGAGTCATCATCATGCGTGCTGTTTGTGGTGTGGCATGGCGTGTGTGTGGTGCGGCTTGTGTTGGCAGACGGGCATGACGTTGACGGTGGTGGACAGTGCAGTGGGCACGTTCTACGTGTGCTACGCGGAGGACCCCGCCACGCTGCAGCAGAACGACCCCGTGCTCTACAACAAGGTGCAGGAGCGCGACAGGGAGATCCGCGACCGCCGCACCCGCCACGACGCCCAGGCCGCTGCTCGGCAGGCTTCCAGGTGAAGGCGCTGCTGGGCTCATGAGTCGAGTCTCGAGGTTGGGGATGAGTGAGAGGTGGATGTAGCTTTGAAGGTAGGGTGGAGTTTGGAGGAGTTGGGGGATGATTGTGGTTGGCAGGGTTGTGAAGGGCAGTGTGTAGACATTGATGTGAAGGCTGGGTCTCTGACATAGCTTAGACGCTCCGCACTGTTCTTGTGATATATTGTACTCTTGCGCTACTGTGATGGTGGGATGACAAGTGAGAGAACTGTTTTATGGGTCTGCTTGGGATGTTTGGTATTTACAACCGTAGGCCCAAAAATCAAGCTAGGGGTTAGGAAGAGGTTGAATACCGTATACAAGGGTGTGCCAGCTAGCTGTATGGGTGCTGTTGGATTGGCAGTAACCCACTGTTGGGCTGAGAAAGCCCTAAGGATCTTTGCAGAGGATAACTCTGGGTAGGAAACTTGTAATAGCGGAAGCGTTTAATGACGTTTGTGAACCGACCTTGCACTAGTTTGTGAGAGCAAAGTAGATTAAATTAAACGAGCAAATACAGGGTTTTATATAAGAGTACAGGGAATACGAATAGATAGACAACTGTATTGCTGTTGCGATTCGATACAGTGCGACTCGGGCAACTGCTCTGTAACGAGTCAGTTGTGTGTCCTTAACTGTCGCGCTGTAATTGTCGAGTCAAAGGTCGCTGACCTTTGACTTTCCCGTAACCTCTAGGCGGTGTCAAATGTTGTAGCCTGTAGTGAGGTTTGTCTTAGGGGGTACAGAAGTTAGGGTTTGTCATATGTACCCCAACCAACATCAATGGAACATTCATTCCTCATTCTGACATGGTATCAGCTAGGTTAGGATCCTGTGGGATCCCGTTCCTCCGTTCTCCGTTCGTACCTCCCGAGCCTGATCCTACCTCTCGTTCGTACCAGTTTCGTTGTTACCGCGCCTAGTACCGAGCCTAGCGCCATCTCCCCCGTCGCGTCACGCCCGTTCCCCCCCGCCGCGTCGCGCCCGTTCCCCCCGTCGCGTCGCGCCCGTTCCCCCCGTCGCGTCGCGCCCGTTCCCCCCGTCACGCCGCGCCCGTTCCCCCCGTCGCGTCGCGCCCGTTCCCCCCCGTCGCGTCGCGCCCGTTCCCCCCGTCGCGTCGCGCCCGCCTGTTACCCCCCCCGTCCCGTCGCCCTGTCCCGTCGCGTCGCCCTGCCCTGTCCCGTCGCCCTGTCCCGTCGCGTCGCCCTACCCCGTCGCGTCGCCCTGCCCTGTCCCGTCGCCCTGCTCCGTCGCGCCGCCCTGCCCCGTCGCGTCGCCCTGTCCCGTCGCGTCGCCCTGCCCCGTCGCGTCGCTCCCGCCCTTTCCCCCGTCGCGTCGCCCTCCCTAGGCCCTGGCCCGTCGCCCTCCCTAGGCTCTGGCCCGTCGCCCTACCCTAGGCCCTGGCCCGTTGCCCTACCCTACGTCTTGGCCCGTCGCCCTAGCCCGCTCTTCCGCTGCGACTGAGTCCTCTTCCCCCCCGGTTGTTACTCGCCTGTTCGTTCGCGTTGGTTCTCACTATGGCGACTCCGCGAGTTCTTCGTTTCGACGCCGACGGTAGACCCCTTGACTTTTCCGTCTGGCTTCTTCGCGCTCGTCGTCTGTTAGAGAGTCAGGTCCAGGGGGGCGAGACCCTCTGGTCACACGCTACTGGTGACCTCCCCGAGCCCCCCGAGCCTACAGCTTTAGGCCCTGCTCCTGACGACGTTGCTACGGCTCGCTTTGCCCGTCAGCGCGCTGACCGGACGGCTTGGACGTCGCGTGACGCTGCGGCCTGCATCGCACTCAGCAGCCTCCTCCCTGAGTCCGAGGAGGTCCACTTTACTCAGGTTCGCACCGCTGCTGCGTACCTCACTGCGATTAAGGCCCGCTACTCTACTCCCGCTACTGTCTCTCTCGGCCGTCTTTTCCTCCCGTTCCTGTTTCCTGATCTTGCCTCGTTTGAGCGCTCTGCTGACTTGATCGCTCACCTCCGCTCGCTCGACGCTAGTTACCGCGCTGCTTGCACTGAGGCACAGCTTGCACTGCTTCCTCCCCCCATGGCGATTACTGTCTATTTCATCGCCACTAGCCTCCCAGACCGCCTTGCCTCCGTTCGTGACGCGCTTCTGCTGAAGCACCCTAGTGAGCTGACTATCGAGGTCCTTGAGTCTGCACTCAAGGACGTCGAGAGCAACCTTCGTTCGGTAGCTGCCGCCTCTGGTACTGTGTCCCCCCCACTCTTCCACGGGTGCACAGTCCCGCAGTTACCCACCTTCACTGCCTCTCTTGCCACTGCCGCTACTGACGCGACTGCGGCTGCTGTTACGACTGCGTCACGGTCCCGCGGCAGGGGGGGCAAGAAAGGTGGTTCCGGTGGAGGTGGAGGCGGAGGTAGCGGAGGTAGTGGGGGTGCTGTTGCGACTGGCGGTGGTGGGAGTGCAGCGTCTGGAGAGATCCCTCGTGCAGCGGCTGGTGACTCCACTGCACCTGCTGGTGGCGGCGACCCTCGAGCTCGTCAGTCGCCTCCTGTACTGCCGGCCCCTCTAGGTGGAGCAGCGGCGTGGTACCAGGCTCAGCGTCAGCAGCACCTTCAGCAGCAGCAGCTGCCCCTTTCCTCCCAGCAGCCTCAGCAGCAGCAGCGTCAGCAGCTGGCTCCGGGGTCGGGGCTGCGTCAGCCCCAGCGCGGTGCTGCTTACCCTCCCTGCCCCTACCAGGTTCAGACAGGTCCTCGTCGGGGCCACCCTTGTGGCCGCTTTCACCCCCCTGGTCAGTGCTTTGCTCAGCTCACTGACACGGTCCGGTTGACCTACGGGGTTGGCGGTCCTGCTCCTGACTGGCTTCCTCTGGTTCAGCGCTACGGCTCCGCTCTGTGGGGCATGTCTGCTGAGCAGTTAGTTGATCTGATTAGTGCTCCTCATGCTATGTATGCTGTTGTTGACTCTAGTGTTTCTGACTCTGTTTACTCTGGTGTTGTTAGCTTAGGTGCTAGTCTTGCTCAGTTGCCTGTTGCTAGTGTAGGTACTTGTGTAGACTCTAGACCAGCGACTACCTCAGAGGACGCTTCGCTGTCGTTCACACTGGACTCTGGAGCCTCCCACTGCTTCTTTCGGGACAGCACGACACTTACACCACTTCCTGTGCCTGTTTCTGTAGCGTTGGCTGATCCCACTACGGGACCAGTCACTGCACGTCACACTACCACTTTACCGTGTCCTGCTGCTCCCTCCGGGTCTCTCACTGGGTTTCACGTCCCCTCGTTCTCCCGGAACTTGGTGGGCGTGCGACCCCTCGTGAGTCAGCACGTGGGTGTGTGGTTTGAGCCTTCTGGAGAGACTGCGGTGTGTGTTGACGGAGACTCTTACTAGCCTCTTGCTACCTTTACTGCTGAGCCGGGCTCAGGTCTCTACACTCTTCACACTGGCCCGCGTGCGCCGCAGCAGCAGCCGCAGCAGCAGCAGCAGCCGCAGCCGCAGCAGCAGCAGCAGCAGCAGCAGCAGCAGCAGCAGCAGCAGCAGCAGCACCAGCGGCCGCACCAGCAGCCCCCCCTACTGCCACTGCCCCCGGTTCCCCCCCCCGTTCGGGTCCCCGCGTCTCACCAGGTTGCTACGTCCCCCCAGGTGTCTGTGTCGTGTCAGGTTCCTACGTCTGTTCCAGTCGCTGCGTCGTGCTCCTGCCGGTCGCTTGCCCACCCCACCGTTCTGTGGCACCACCGGATGGGGCACCCGTCCCTTCCACGTCTGCGCGCTATGTCTAGTCAGCGTCTTGTCCTAGGCCTCCCACGTGTCTTGCCGTCGCTGCCGCCTTCGCCTGCGCCGCCGTGTCGTCCCTGCGTCGAGGGTAGGCTGCGCGCCACCCCTCACTCCTCCTCCCTTCGTCCGGCCACCGAGCCTTTTGAGACGCTTCACTTGGACGTCTGGGGCCCAGCCCCTCGTCTAGGCCCTGAGCGTGAGCGTTACTTTCTGGTGGTCGTTGACGACTTCTCCCGCTACACCACAGTGTTCCCTCTGGCGAAGAAGTCTGAGGTGACTTCTACGCTGATCAGGTGGTTGCTCACCACTGAGGACACTCGTGGTCGTCGTGTCAGCTGTCTCCACTCCGACCGTGGGGGTGAGTTTCGCTCCGGCATTCTCGCTGGATTCTGTCGCGAGCAGGGCATTCGTCAGTCCTGGACGCTTCCAGAGTCCCCACAGCAGAATGGGGTTGCTGAGCGCCGCATAGGCCTGGTCATGGAGATCGCCCGCACCTCCCTGACTCACGCCTGTGCCCCCCATTTTCTGTGGCCCTACGCGGTCAGGTACGCCGCGCACCAGCTGAACCTCTGGCCACGTGTCTCTCGACCAGAGGTTTCACCGACCAGTCTTTGGACAGGGTCCCCTGGTGTTGCGTCGCGGTTTCGTGTCTGGGGGTGCTTGGCTCTTGTCCGCGACACCTCCGCGGACAAGCTCTCGCCTCGTGCCGTCCCCTGTGTCTTCCTTGGTTTCCCTGAGGACTCCTCTGACTTCACCTTTTACCACCCTCCCTCTCACCGGTTCTTTGACTCCCGTGACGTCCGTTTCGAGGAGTCCACTCCGTACTACGTCAGGTACCCCAGTCGAGGTCTCCCGGTTCCTCCTCCCCCCCTCTTCCTGACTGCCGTTCCCCCTCCTGCTCCCCCGGTACAGCCTCCCCCCCCTGGTCCAGCCCCGTCAGGTGTGTCCCAGGCTACCCCTCCTCCTTCGGTAGCCCCTCCGGTACAGCCTCCCTCCCCACAGTCCTCCTCGCAGCGTGCCGCTGGTGCTAGCTCTCGAGAGGTTGGTGCGGCGCCTGTTCCTGTACCGGTTTCTGGTTCTGGGGGTGCTGGAGTTGGCGCTGGAGTTGGAGCTGGAGTTGGAGCTGGAGTTGGCACTGGAGTTTCTGGTTCTGGGGGTGCTGGAGTTGGAGCTGGGGTTGGAGCTGGAGTTTCTGGTTCTGGAGTTGGAGCTGACCCGGTGGGTGCAGAGGACTCTTGTCGTCCGGGAGCTGGTACT